TTACATATATGTACATATATACATTAAATGGGTAAAATATTGCTTATGCTATTCACTGCTTTATTATTGGCATGCGAGGCTTGCTTTAAGTCCCTAAACCTTTTTTGCTCTTAACGAAATTTGAATATTTTTATTAATTATTTTTCACTTTTTTTATTTTGACATTCCCTTTACACTTGAAAGTGTGTCGAAGTCAAATTTACTCACAAATACTTCATTGAAGATGCACCTATACAAGCATACATATATATACATATATATATACAAGAAACACCCGCTAGGAAAAGCAAAAATTGCTTCAAGCAGGCTACCCAGTTTGCTTGCGTTCTGGAGAGGTGAGGTCAGTAGAGGATTCGATGTTAGGAGACAAATAAAAAAGTAGTTAAAGTCTGATATACATACATATATATGGATCTCGAATATTAATAAGTTTATGTAGTCGTCTATTTCCTTCCTAACCAGCCTGGTAGTAAAGCCGCCTCAAGTTTAAGAAGAGATAATCATAATCGATACGGCGTTATATACGAGAGAGCCTCTAAGCGGTGTTATTATTAAGTTTATTTTATTTTACTTTATTTTATTTTATTTTATTTTATTTTATTTTATTTTATTTTATTTTGTTTTATTTTATTTTATTTTGTTTTATTTTAATTTATTTTATTTTATTTTCATTTTGTTTTTTTTTTATTTTATTTTCATTTTGTTTTTTTTTTTTTATGTTATTTTGTTTTGCTTTTTATTTTAATTTATTTTATATTAATTTAAAATTCTTCCATTTTTGTTTTTGTTTTTTATATTATTTTAATTTACTTAATTTCTTTGTGGGCCTTTAATATTCTTATATGTGCTATATGCATATGTATGTACATATGTATGTCTTTAAGTTCCCGAGGTCACTATCAGTTGTGAATCATCGCGACAAGTTTATTTAATGAGTTGTTTCTCTTTTTATTTATTTTCATTATGTACCTACCACAACAACATTTACAACACATGCCTTGGTAGTAATAAGTAGCATTGGAAAGTTGTTATTTTTTTGCATTTTTTCTTGTTTTTTTTTTTGTTACCTTGGCTTACCTGCGCATCGCTGCGGCTGGGAAGCTGCTGCTATGGCAAAATTAAGTTAAGTGCATTTTTCTTTGCTTTTCTGCTCATTCGCAGCTGTATTAAAGGCATATCTGTGTAAAGCCTTGGGTTGCCCTTAATCACCGACATTATTGGCGACCGGCGAAACGGTGAAAGGCGGCGAAAGGTAAGGGGAATTTATTTGTAAAATTGAAAAGAAAGTGGCACTAATGGTTCCAGCAACAAGCAGCCCGCTGATGATGCTGAACAGCTTGGCGCAACAACGTGCAACACAATATAGTATTTGGGGCACATTATCGGTGTGTCTTTTTTTTATTCAGCAGTTGTTGCATGCAAACCAAATAAATATAGAAAATATTATCTTACTCCAGGCACTCGACCCTCGAGCGACTTTGCGATCAGCAGTTCAACCGAAAAAAAATTGGTTTTGTTCGTTTTTTGTCTCTCACTCGCTACTGTTTTGACATACAAACACAAGCGTTTTGTGCTTTTTAAGTTGCGCGTTTATGTGTCATAATCAGCAACAATGTATGGACACATGTATGTAATGAGACAGCTGAGCTGAGGATCTGCGCCTAAGGTTCATTATTTCGCCATTTCTTTCGATCGCTGCTGATCCACATGTTGCAAGTATATATTTGTATATATATGTGTGTGTGTGCATGTGTCCGCTGCACGATTTTGTGCTACTTTTTCTTTGATTTTAGTAAAGCGTTTTGTGTCTTCCGTCTACTTTAGTCACTCGAGCGCCACATTTCTGCTGCCGTAAATCGAGGCCGCCAGCCATATTCGGCCAACTCCAGTGCACCAGCGAAATGCAACTCAGCTGCACACTGTCGATGCCCCGACACCAGCTCGAGGGGTGCTTTTTCGCCAGTTCGACAGCTAGTGCGCTGTATTTTCACTGGAGACGACAAGCTGAACGACTGACGAACTCTCTGCTTGGCTGTCTGGCTAACTGACGAACTGTCTGTCTGGCGGGCGGTCTGTCTGTGTCTACTTGTTGCTCTTCATTTTATTATAAATTCACATTGCATTGAATTTCTTTGCGGTTTTGTGCTTCATCGCATCTTTGTTACGCATTTCACTTTACTTTTGATTTCACATTGCGATTCTCATACAGTGTGGTGTGAGAATCAGTGCACAACAACAAATCGAAGCTAATTTCTAATTCTGTAAGAAATGAAGAAAAAACTACAAATAAAAATATAGTTTAATACAACAACAACAACAACAACAACAACAACAACAACAACAATAACAACAAAAGCAACATGACGTACTTGGCCGTTGGCCCACAAAGCGCATTGCCAAAGTTAAGGTTGCGACTGGGACGCACCCATAAATCGCAGCTCAGACACGAACGTGGCTGGCAAAAAAAACCGACAAAAAAAAGACACCAAAACCAATGTGGTTTACCAAATAAAAAAAAAATTAATTGAATCTAGTGTTAACAACAACAACAGCTACAATAAGCAACCAAAAACGCTTTCAAGAACTGCAATCAGCAATGCAATGCAATGGTAGTAGGAGGAGAAGAAGAAGAAGAAATAAAATAAACACGAAAATTATTGCGATCAAATTTGAGGACTAGAAAGATAAGAAGAATTTGCAAAGATATTGTATATACATACATATGTTTATATTTAGCAACAACGAGAGTCTACGAGAGCCACTAAACTACTTCAGTGCCATAATAAGAGCCAATAAATTTCCACAAATAATTGATTAATCAGGATTGAATGCGCGCCGCATTGTTACCACCGAATGTACCCTTGGCACCTTTGGCCGCTCCGAATGTACGCCCATCATTAGCCAAAATAATGTAATAAAAAAAGATCAGAAAAATTCTGTTGATCTTTTGGAGATCTTGATCTACTCCTTTTTCTTTGAAATTCATTTTTTATGCTTTAAATTGCGTTTGGTGTTGTTCACACCCGCCTTAATTAGTGTTGTTTAGCAGCTCCTGTTTTTCTTTTGTAAACGTTCTCTTCCTTTCCACAAAATGCGGGCTATAATGCAACAACAATAAAATATAGTCACAGATCTGCTTCAATGGAAGCTTTAAATCGTGTTTAGTGTTGTTCACATAAACTCAATTAAGTTGAAACAATTAGTGTTTGATAGCTGTAACAAATTTTTATTTTGCGAAAAATGTTGACGTCAAAAAAGGTGATAAAAAAATATACAGTTTGAGATCTACATCATTGAAAGCTTTAATTCGAGTTTGCTCCTGTATACACACACTCAATTAAGTTGAAACAATCGGTATTTAGCAGCAATATTTTGTAGCAAAATAGAGACAATTAAAGATTTCAATCAATTAATATTTTATTATTTCCCTAGGATTTAAATTAAGTTTGGTGCTGTTCACACACACTCAATTAAGACGAAGTTAAGGCCTTCGCTTCAATTAGAGAAGAACGTAAACTTGGCGATCATCTTATTAGTCGATAAATTTTAAATTGAGTTTGACGATATGCACACACATACACTCAATTAAGACAAAATTGTTCCAACAAAGCTTAAAAGTGTTGGCAAGTGTGTGAAAACTGGAATTGATTGAAATAAACTAATAAAAAGTATGTATATTAATGGCGAACCTAATCAAAAATATCTAAATTGCTTAAAACCTTTCAATTAGCTAATTACGTGCCTGTGTGAACAGCGTTTAAATTTCGTATTACATCTTCTCTGCTGAGATTATTAATAAAACTAACCAAAAGCCCTAAGAAAGTTCCAAGCATATTTAAAAAAAAGAGTTGCCACCTGTCACGAAAATAATTTTAGTGAAATAAATGAAAAATCTATTATTTATACATATAAAGTGAACGATTTTTGAGTAATAAATATATATCTTTGAGAAGAATTTCATCAAAAATTTCTTAATTGCTTAAATGCTGAAATTGTTGTAATTAGCTAATTGCGTGCCTTTGTGAACAGTGTTTAAATTTTTTATCATGTCATTTTGTCTTAGATTCTTAAACAATAATAGTAAAAATAGCTTCTTAGAAACCCGTCGAAAAAAGAGTAAAGAGAGTAAAAGAGTTGCCACCTGTTAGAAAAAAAATTGTTGGTATATGTGAGTGAAGTGTTATGCTATAAGTACTAAATGGAAAGCTTTCAAAAGTATTATATAACACAAATAAATTTAACAGAGTTGCCATCCCTTTAAAAGAGATATGACTGACACCGCCATACACCGTACATAATTAAACAATAACCATTTTTATTCATATTAACTATGACAATTAAATGGAAAGTTCTAAAACTAAGTCGAACCCAAATTTAAATTTATTTATAATTTTAACAAAAATGGAGCTTAAAAAGTATAAACTAAATTTAAAAATAAATTTGAAGTTAAACTTATAAATTAAAAATTATAATAAATATTAATATTGATATTGAAATTAAAATTGATTATTAAAATTGAAAATAAAATTAAAATAAAAATAAAAATTTATTTTAATATTAAACTTTAAATCATTATTAAAATTCGAATTTAAATTTAAATAGAAATCAAAATTCAAAATTAAATTAAAACTAATATTAAAATTAAAATCAAAATTTAAATTTATATTTAAATTAATTACAATTAAAAGTTAAAATTGAAATGAAAGTTAAAATTAAAGTTAAAACTAATATTAATATCAATTGAAAAACAAAATATAAATTTAGAATAAAATTCATTTTAATATTTAACTAAAATCAATTAAACTCAAAATTCAAAATAAAATTAAAATTTAATATTAAAATTTATATTTAAATTAAAATTTAAAAATATTAAAATCAAAAATCAAAATCAAATTAAAATTTAATATTAATATTTATATTTAAATTATAATTAAAAAATAAAGTTGAAAATAATATTAAAATTTTAATTAAATTTTAAACTAAAAAGCACATTTTGGGTTTCTTATTGAACATACGCTAGTTATTTATGTATGGACATACTTATATATATATATATTTCTTTTTTGAGATTTTGTGATTGATTTCTATAATCTTTCACCGAAGTCTTTAACCTGTTAAGCGTTCTAACCAATTTCTTGTTAGTTCTTTTGTTTTCTTCATTTGTGCTGTCTTGTGTCTTTGAACGATTAGCTAAAAGCTAATAAATAATGCTAATAGCCTCTCGCTAAACCTTTTTCCAGACGCAGTCACAGTTGCGCAATTTCACAAAGCGGCGCTGATAATGCGAGTAATTTTCTATTGGCACGTATCACGCCTAATCGTTCAACCCGCACTGCCCATTCGAAGACTTTTTCTGACACACTTTAGCAGCAAATGAAATTGATTAAATAAATAAATATATACGAGTATGTATGCATGTAGGTAGCCCGCGTACCTGCGACTAAAGTTTAATTGCGCTTTGTTTTTAACTACCATTAACGGTAATATATAAATGCACATACAAAAAAAAAAGACGAAAACAAGAAGATGGCATGTGTTAAACCTCTATTGGGGCTACACCACGCGCTTCAAGCGCAAACACCCAAACAAAGTAGGCGCAGTTCGTGTATTCATTGTGTCATGCAGTAGTGGCTGCATTGTCTTGTCTCATTGATGAGCTCATCAACGCCTTCTCCAAACACTGTATGATGGCTGGCTGCCTCGCTGGCTGTTTGACAGGTGGCGCGTCCGCTTCAAATGTGGCAGCCAACCAAGCTGCGCACAAACAAATAAGGGTGGAGCTTCCTTAGATAAAAGCTTCGTACATACAATATGTATGTAATGAAAAATCACAATTTCTTAAAAAGCCAAGAATTTCATAAAGAACGCCGCGTATTACTTTGCTACTCGCCAAAAATGGTAACAGACCGCTCCTTTTCCGATTTCGTTTAATGTATTGAGTGCGCTTTACAGCCCACTTGGTGAGGTTGATACTTCTTCTTATTCTTTTTCTTCTTTTACAAATCAAGCACACACAATGCAATCAAGGGCGCTTGCGAGTAAATATAGATATGTATTTATATTTGTATATAAGCCCACATAATTGCTGTAATATTATAGTTTTAATATTACATCATTAGCGCCCAGAGTTCTTGCGCTGGCGCCACCCAATTGCATTTTGAACTGGCTGCTTTGAGAATCTTTGGCTCAACTGAAAACACAGTTTAAGTTTGATTGTGCTGTGAAGTGGTTGTGAAATCGTTCGAATTCCTCAAAGTGTCAGAATTTATTTATATAACAATTAAACTTTAAGCAACTGGCAGCATTAAACTATTTTTCTCCTTGGTCTTGAGGTAACGAGCCGTTGCGTTGACAAGAGCTGACTTTGCTTGCTGTGAAAGTTAATTTTTCGTATTATTCCCAAATTTTGTCACAATTCCCGAAGGACCAACTTTTATGTTAATTTTTGCTTGCAATGAGCGCCTTAAAATAATATTTTTGTTATTTTTTTTTTTAATTTTTTGAACTGAAACAGCCCATTTCATGCAAAACAATTAATTATTTTACGTAATTTAGTGATATTTATGCAACAGCTGTTCACAGAAATGCACTGATGTGTAAGTGCTGCCAAATCAACGGCAATATCAGGGTTGTTTCTTAAAGAGTCTGATCTTAAGTTTTTTACTATATTTTATTTGAGAATTTTTCGCACTCTGAACACTAATAAAATATATTGAATATTTATAGTTTTTGATGGTATCATAAAATTATTTAAATTAATAAAAATTATTATTAAAATTTGTAAAATGCCTATGTAAGTGAAATGAGTAATAATATAGATATAAGAATTTTAAAATTTTACGCAGAAATATTTCTTGGAATATTTTAAGGGTCCAAACCTTAAGAATTCTCTCAATAACCAATTCGGAAGGGCGGTAGAGGGTTAAAATGTCAGAGAAAATAATTGTTTGGCAAAATTTTTCAAAAGAGGTCTTCTTAGACAAAGTCTTTGGGTAAATATTTTGAAGTCCAAACAAAATATGCAAATTTTTCTGTTTACGCACTAAAGTGGTTTTCGAAAAAAGTTTAAAAAGAAATAATTTTCCCACCTAAAGGGATCATTTTAGGCTCAAAAACCAAACCGGGAGACCGTTAGAGGGCTAAAAGATTAGAAAAAAATATTATTTTACAAGAGACGTTCTTATTCAAAGGTTCATTTTGGAGACACTTACTTTAGGATTATTCAAAAACGCCGATTTGCAAAGCCGTTAGAGGGTTAAAATGTGGTAGAAAGTTTTTCATCGAGAAAAAACCAAATTTAGCGGAGGTCCTACGTCCCCATAGGAAAAGTTCTCAGCTCCACGGATTTCCTAGCTGGGTCTTTTTCAACGATACTTTCTTCAGCGTGTTATTCAAAGGAAGGGAGGTAAAAGGTAGCATTGTTTTAATAAAGTACATATTGAAGCTTTCAAGATAGGCAGTCTTCCGTAGAGAGCTATCATCGAAGGCAAACCATTCCGTCACTTTTCAAGAGGAGGCTGCTTTTATTGAGAAAGTGATGGACTCACTGTTTTGGAAGGTGGTTTTCTGTTCGAGCGGTTCAAGCATCTATTACTGTCCTGGACTTAGTATACGCGGTCAGCTCTATAAATACCACGGCATCGTAACTGACGGACAAAGTGACATGTATGTGCATGCTCCTCTGTCAGAGTACGATCTGCTGCTGAGCAGCTGGGCTTCTGGCTAAAGCTGGACCGCGTTGGGGATCAAAGGAACGCTTTTCCACAGAGCTCTCACATACATTGGATGTTCTAACTGGACATTCATGCCATGAAGCTTGAGGTTTTGCCATTTTCTTACTCGCATAAATTGTTTGCTGGAGCAAATTGCATTTCTGACTGAAGTTTGACCGCTGTGGGTCGGAGAAGGAGCTGCTTTCCATTAAAAGATGAACACTGGAAGGGTTATTTCACTGGGCAATCCCGCTGCGAGGCTTGAGTTTTTGCGGAATTTGTACAAGTCAAATTGTCAGGTGGAGCAAATGGCATAAATCATATAGTTTATTTTGCTCTCTCTCTCTCTCCAAAGAGTAGTCAAGGGTTCAGAAAAATGCTCCGGGATCTTCTGAGGATCGGCATACTTTATTTGTCATAAGTAATTTTTTCATTAGAAAATTGTTTCTTACGTTTCGAAGTTACTGTCACGCCCTCAAAATTTTAGTAGCTTGAGACCAAAAAAAAAACCGTGCAAAGCAAACAATCGGTCATACATTATATATGTACATACATTATATAGTATGTATTTATTCTTCGTTCTTGTGACACTTTTACTTTTCAAGTTCATTACTCACCTTGCAATGTTGTGCAGGTTAAGGTAAACTGAAGGTCGCAAGCCCTGCGCTGCCCTTGCCAAAGCTAATTATGACTCCGTCTCTTTCTACGCATTCTTGACAAAGCCCTACAAAAGTCCAAGAAAATAACCAAAAAATTATAGTAGCTTAATGTTGTTATTGTTATTATTTTCACTAGCTCATGGCGCGATCGTAAGCCCCTTGAGACACGGAGTGTGCGGAGCGTTTCACTGAGACGATCTCAGTGCTGCGCATATCGCGCCAGTGTTGCTTTGATAAGATAAAACTGAAGCATTTCGACGGCAAATAGAATATTAAAAGAACAAACAACAGTTACACTGATAAACCAATTAAGCGTCAACGAGCTTACAACTACAATTACAAGTTAGACAAACGTGGGCTGATAAAAAAACATGTGAGCACTTAAGTAGAGCTGAAAGAAGTTTTATAGAAAAACAACAACAACAATAAAAGCAGCAGGCTAAAAGCAAATTCTTAAGCACACGCTAATCACTCCACTTGTTTGCATATAACACACATAGGTATTTTTGGGCAACCGAAAAGAGAAAATAAAATATCAGAATTTTAGCGAAAACATATATATGTACATGAGAATGGCTCAGTACTAGAATCGCAGTGACGTTGACGTCGGAGTCATACGAGAATTTTGTTTTGTTTGTTTTTTTTTTTTGTTTTTGCGGTGCTATCAGACGATAATAGCCTTCGCGTCCACTCTTCATACTTCGTGCCTATATACCTGAGCGCCAACTGTACATAGAGCGTGTGTTATCATCGTCGTGTGAGGGTGACGCTGAAGTTACCGTTGGCGTTGGCGTCAGCGCTATTTACACCTTGAGTCTGAGAAGTTAGCGGCCAATGTTAGTTAGTAGTGTTATTAGCGCTTAGCCAGTCGTTTGCGGAATTTTCACCCGAATCGTAATTACGCCATTTTTATGCGCTTTCATTATTTGATTTCGTACAATTAAGAATATTGCGTAATATAGTGCAATATTAAATAAGCAAAAAAGTAAATAAATAAAATAAGAAAAAAAAACGCAGTGTCAATGCCAGCAGCAAAGCTTCGTTTGCTATTTTAAAAGCAATAAATTTGCAGTTTTTATGTGACAATCAGTTGGTGAAGTTAGTTCTACAAAATTAATACATACGATAACTAAAAAAAAATAAATTTAGTTAAATTTAATTAAAAAAGAAATATATAAAAAATAGAAAAAAACAATATTTAAAAAACTAAAAAATAGCAATATTGAAAAAAATTTAAAATAACTTTATTTCAAGTAAAAATGTAAAAAATTGATAAAATAATTTAGATATTAAAAAAAAAAAATCCGAAACTATACGTGTATATAAAAAAAATTAGTTCAAAATAGTGGTGACCACGCGCAAGAGACAATCACAAAAAATCCAATTAGACGAAGAGGAAGTAAAGTGACAATAGTAGTTGACAGACAAATAAAACATAAAAAAACATCACAACGAAGGTGAGCGCCACGAAGTCAGACTATAGATTTCGAGTCAACAAAAAAAAATTATATTAAGGAATAATAACAATAATTAAGTCTGGGAAAATATCGCCGTGACAATAGTAGTGATATGTATATGGCGTCACCAAAAACAAAAGAAATACAATTAAAATAAACATAAGAATACAAATAAAAATAAGAATAAAAAAAGATTTAGACTAAAAAATATTTAAATATGTAGAGCCGCCATTATATTTTACGTCTAATTAGATACTCTTCAAGTGCACCACTTAAGTGTTTTATATAAAAATCAATATTTAATATCACTACCGAGTAAGTGCGCAACTTTCCACACTTGAATTGTAAACTTGCAAACTTTTAAGCAACTAAAATTTTAAAATTTTCCAACATTCTACTACAATTTTCAAGTCACTTCTCTCATGGCGTGATTCTGTAACTATTCAAAGTAGGAAGTGAATGATAAGTGGCCAATCTTTGGCTGCTTGAAGCTAAACCACCCACCAAATACATCATATAGGGGCCAGTTGACTTTACCGATTCCATTCGGCACCATATCATTGACCCACAGAGTAGAACCCACTGTTCTCAGACAATCTGTAAAACCTTCAGTAACTCTCTTCACATGAATGAACTAAACGGAATGAAATCACTAGTCAAAGCAGAGCAGGCAGCAGGCAGCAGGCTCCGAGTCTCATTCATCTTCTGCGTATCGAGACTCGGCCGTGTCTTATTTAACGTATGTACTGCATGCCATGAGTCATCGCGCGACACTAACAAACTATTTTCTGGCTCTACCTCTAGACCAACCATTAGATAACACCAATCAATTCTCCAGCAAAACTACATAGAGCATTTACAATGCGGTCACATAACTCCTTTTCTTTTGGACATCGAATTTTCGCGTTCTTTTTTGCATAGTATTGGCGGCCGCTAGTGGTTAGCATGGTTAGCAGAAGGCTCGGGTTCAAATCCTAGTGTCGTACTAACATACAAAAAGTTCTGGAAAATTCATTGTAGTTAAGTTTTCTATTTGCGGTCGCCCCTCGGCAGGGAATGTTAACGCCTCCGAGTGTATTTCTGATACGAAATTCAAAAGTTCCTCATAAAAAGAACCATCAGCCGTTGGGACTGAAGCTCCCTCCATTTATTGGAAAAACATCAAAACGTAAAACCACAAATTGGAGGAACAGCTCGACCGAAAATGACTTCAGCGGTTACAAAGCGCCAATTATATATTTTTGCGTGTGAGCTTCATTTCACTCTTAGTCTATTTGGGGAGACTTCGTCATGGACTCGGAATTTCTCGACTGATTTGCAGACCCTGCAGCGCTTGAAGTGAGTTCTAGGCGCTCATTGAAGATATCTGTGGACATATTATCATTCTCTTCTGTCGGGACTTGGGCTAAAATTCGCGATTCTCCGCCGTAATGAATGTCATTACTTGAAGACGGCGCTACCACCACCGAATTTACGTTGCTTTTTAGTTAACTTCCTAGTTTATTTTAGCTCCCTCAGCTCGATGCTTCTCCCATCGACTTTCTAGGACGATGGTTCTGGTCCTACTCAATACAGGGACATCGCCCAAAGTGGAGTTTCTTAAAATGACAATACTGCTATATAGTATAGCAAACCGCTTACCGCAAGTTTCGCTCTTAGTCACACCTCAGATTATGTCGGATTGCTGCAAGACTTCACTACGCATTCCATACAAGTGTTGCATCAAGTAGCGCGACGAAGACGCCAGATTAGAAATTGTGTTGTATTAAAGCACTATCTGCATATCTCGAACCAGGACTGCACCCCAATATCTTTCAATAGAAAATTAATACTAGACAGGATATCTTTTTCAGAGACTTTGAACGTTTTTTTTTTTTTAAATTTGGACCAAGACCTTGATATAATTTACTTTTCTCTTGCTTTCTTTCTGCTTCTAAGTCTCTCTTCTTTTCCTTCACTTACATATTTCTGTTATCACTTCGCCAAATAGCTGCTTGACAATTTAATTGAAGGTTCAAATTTTATCAAAATTGTATTTTACTTATATTTATGTGTATGTGTGGATGTATATATGTATGTATGTATGAAAATTTTCCCATTTTTTAGTTAACAATTTATTAGCGCGACTATTATAAAACAAATAACAATTGCTTTTGATTATCTACAGTACATACATACAGTCATATGTATATACAAGTACACTTCAAAGATACCGTTAGCCTGGCACAACGATACAATAAATAAAAATCTAGTGGAAAAACATGAGTAAATGATTTAAACGACGAGGAATTTCAGATAATCAACACAAAAGAATGGTGAATTTTGCTATTTATGTATTTCCGATGAATAAAAAATTACAATAAAAATTTTAAAGCTAAAAAAGATAAAAAAAATTTTTTAATTCAAGAAGAATAATGAAGGAATAAAAAAAATATTATAAATAAAAAACTATTTTTCAAGCAAAAAAAAACTCTGAAAAAAAATAATTATTATTAAAAATTTATAAAAATAAAATACAAATATTCAACTTTAATTGCAAAAGTTATCAATCGATTATTTCAACTCCATCTCTTTTCGCTTACAGATAAAACGCTAAATGCACGCAGTGATAGCAATAAAAATTAGCAAAAAGAAAGCAAATACTGAAGAGCAATAACGTAAAACTGACGCCGAAAGGGCACTTAAAGGTATGTATGTATGTATGTATGTATGTATGTGTGAGTGTGTGTGTTTGTGTGTTTGTGTGTGTGTGTGTGTGAGTAACTAAGTCAATTAATAAAGTTATTCACAAAACAATCGAGCTTTCCTTCCCAGCAAAAATAAAATAATAAAAATAAGAATAACTGTTTTTTATCTATATTTGCTATACACACATACATATATACATATACGTAGATATGTATCTACAAACCGATTATAAGTAATTATAATGATTAACGCAAATATCCATCTTCGCCGGCACTAAAAGCATTGGAGTAGCGACCAACAAAAGCTGGCCTAGAGTTCAATGACTTACCGGCATGCATGCATATCATCATTCGGCAATCATTAGCTGTGTATATGTGTGAATGTGCGTATGTGCACGTATAACAAAGACATCCACCACCAGCAGCAGCAGCAGCAGCAAGTCGACACAAAATAAGGCGACGCATAACGCGCAACAGTTAAACATATATGCATACATACATACATACATCGTATGTAAATGTAAGGTGCAAATAACAATGTAAATGATAAATGAGTGAAAAATAAGGCAGGCACACATTTTTTATTTTAATTTTTTTTCTTTTTTTTTTTGAGTTCAGTCCTCATATGGGCCAACTGAATTGTGTCTGCCACTTAAGTCACTGTTGTACTGCTACATACATTCATACAGACATAAATGTATAGTTATTTTCTTTGTGTAATTATTATTATGGTTTATTGCTGTTGCCGGTTGCTTACTTGCTAGCTATATTGCTTGCCATTTTAAGGTGCAAAAAAAAAACATTCTTTATGTGTTTGAACTTATAATTTGTTTAAATATTTAATAAAAATGGCATTGTTTATTTTTCCTGTAAGCGCTTTTTGGCAAAGTTCTATGGCATTATTAGTATTTTCTTTTTATATACATTTGAATCGTTCTATACTGAGACACTTAAGGCAAAAGCATTCCGCTCATTCCTTTTGTATAATTCCAAGTCAACAAATTATTTAAATATTTTGGCTCTCAAGCGCAATGTTGATGATTGTAAAATAATAAGGAAACCGTATTGACCCACTTTAAATTTTTTTTCAATATTCATATGTGTGTATTCAAGTGCAATGCATTTTATTTTTTATAATTTATTGTATTATGTATTAATAATTAACTTTATTTTATTTTGCATTTTAATATAGTTTTATTTTACTTATTATATTTAACTCATTTTTTTAATCTTATATTATATTATTTATTTTTGTTTTATTTTATTTTTTATTTAAAAATGTTTTAAGTTAATTAATTATAGTTGTTTTACTCATTTTTTCTTAATTCAATTTAATTCAGTTTGACTAATTGTATTAATATTTTTTTAAATAAGCTTAGTTCAATATACTTAATTTTATTTAACTTAATTTAATTTGATTCAATTTCTGATTTTATTTTAGTTTAACACACATTTTATTTTATATTAAATTATATTAAAAATTATTTATTTTAAATTATTTAATTTAATTTTTTTAATTTTAATTCATTTCATTTCATTTTTGTTTTATAATATTTTATTTTATTTTATGTTATTTTATTTTGTTTTACTTTATTTTATTTTATTTTATTTTATTTTATTTTATTTTATTGAATTTTAATTAAATTTTTTAATTAATTTTATTTTACCTAATTTTTTTTATTTAATTTTTTTAATTTATTTTTTTATTTTATTTTTTTTATTCTATTTTATTTCATTTTCAGTTTAATTTTTTGAAGTCTTATGGGAAATATTCATAAAAATTTTTTAAATTCTTAGCGCCCAAAGAATTATGTAAATATATATAGATATGTATACATATGTACATGTATATTTATAGAAATATGTTACGTATGCAGATGTCTACATTTATTTTGATCATCTATAATTTATTGGCCAGTTTGTTGTTTGTGACTGTAAACCAGTTTTCTACGCAGATAATCAGAGTTAAGTAAGAAGAATAGCAACAAAATATTTTTCTTTGCTTTTTCGGTGATTGCATGAAGAAAGTAAACCGCTAATCATAAATCAGAAGCAATGCACATATTTTTATATAAAATATGAACGAAACCAGATTTTATATTGGACTTTTAGAAAAAAAATTAATGAAATTAAAAAAATAATAAAATTTGCTTTTCTACGCAATTTTGTCTGATTTTAGTTTGTTCGAGAAAACCTTGGAAATTGAACAATAAAAAATGCTTTAAAATATTTGTAAGAAATTAATTCACTCATAGACCAGTCTAATATATTTATTACTATTCCAGCCAACGTATTTGTGCTACTTACAACGCGCCTTAATTGTCTAGAACGTAAATATAAAAAAGTTTCAATTATTTGTTTTTTTTTTATTTTTTTTATGGTAGACAATGTCATGTCTCCTAAGCGGGAAAGCGAACGAACTACAACGCGTGCTATGTTATCAGCTTTTTCTCTATACTTCATTAGCAATGTCTATTGCTGTCAATTGCGATGGCACGCTTTTCATTGTTATTTCTTATTTTTTTACTTTGCAAGCTTTCGTGTTATTTCATTCGAAATTTTTTTTGTAAACAGAATACCTATGCACATATGTATAAGAATTTTCAGTACCTCTTCTTGTAAGTTTTACTCACTTAATTTACTTATTTTTTTAAATTTTTTTGTTTTTTTAGTCTTTTTTAATTTAATTTAATATTTTATTTTATTTTATTTTATTTTATTTTATTTTATTTTATTTTATAAGTATGTCATTCATCGATCTCTGAAAATCACCCAACAAATTTCAGCGAATTTAAACAGCGACTGCTTAGTGAAGACACCTGCTCGCTGATAAAATTCCCCAGCTATGCGTTCACTCACTGTATATAGACATTTGCAATTAACAGCTCATTTTATTTAAATAAACTTATAATTTCTTTATATGTAAATATAATTTAATCACTGACAATAATTTATTTACGCTGGAATTTAAGCAAAAACGCTAACGACAGAGCGTATGAGTAATCTTTGCTTGTTTTGCAGTTACGCAAAGGTGTTGCGGTTATTTTGAGAAATGTTGAAGGCAATAAAATAGTCTTGTACATATAATATAAATTTTATAATGGGAAATATGTAAGCTTACGATTGCTTTGGGATACTAAACTCTGTCACATTATGAAATTCTTAAGATTAAATAATAAATTCAGAAAAATTATTAAAAATGGTTATTGTCCTTGAAATACGATTTTTTAAGAAGGTTTTTATGTTTAAGAATTTTAAATTTGTATATATTTTTAATTTATTATAATTTTATTTTTATTTCATTAAATAATTACTTATTTTATAAATATTTTCAATTTCCTAGAAAAGGCGCTTCATTAATATAATAAATAAAAAATATATATAAAATTTGCTACGTGGTCTTGACTTGCTCATGAACTCTTTGCGCACAATTTTTTGTATTTTTGTATATATACTGTATGTACCCTTTCCTACATATATATGTAAATGCCTATACGCATTTTCAAAATCTTTTTTATTTTAATTTTATTTTTTTTTTTCAATTAATTGTACTCACGCACTGAATGTCAATGCTTTTGATTTACCTGTCCCATTCCCCGTTCTCAATCTCTGCTTCTCTCTCTCACTGTTATAGTATTGCTTTTGGCATTCGGTTCAAGCTGAAATAGTCAACAAAACAATGCCAAATGCCAATACTCGGGGACTCCGATACATTATAGCCCATAATAGTCCAGTCGTGTCATGCTTATGTACATACATACGTATGTACATATGTAGCCGGTCGATTGTATCATCTTCTAAGTTTAATGGCGAGACGTAAGCATTTTATACAGCACCTGAGCCATAATAAGTAAGCGTATAATATTTCAAGCGCGACGTGGCTAAAGCTTTTCGCTACTTCACTGCCACCTCAGTTAGTGCAGTGGAATTTAACGGGGAGTGTACCAAAAGTGAGGGAAGTAGAATAAAATAAAATAATATAAAAAAAATTAAATATTTTATTATTTTATTAAATTAAGAAATAAAATGAAATAAAAATATAAATTAAATTACATAAAAATATTAAAAAAAAATTTATATAAAATTAAATAAAACAAAGCAGAAAAAAATAAAAATAAAATAATATAAAATAACAAATTACTAAAATATAAAAAAAAATAATGATAAAAATATAATGAAATAAAGCTAATTTAATGAACTGAAAAAGTTAAATAAAATAAAATTAAATAAATTAAAATAAAACTAAATAAAACAAAGCAGAAAAAATAAAAATAAAATAATATAAAATAAAATAACAAATTACTAAAATATAAAAAAAATTAATTAAAAAAATATAATGAAATAAAAACTAATTTAATACTGAAAAAATTAAATAAAATAAAGTAAAATAAATTGAAAAAGTAAAAAAATAAAACATAACATACCGAAACAAAGCAGAAAATATAAAATAAAGTGTAAATTGAATTTAATAAGAAAAATAGTTAATAATATAAAGTAAAATTAAATAATAAATAAGTAAAATAAATAACATATTTAATTTAAATAAAGAAATGAAATAAAATAAAATAAATCAAAATAATATAAAATACAATTAATTAAATTAATTAGAAATTTAAAAAAAAAAAATTTAAATTAAAAAAAATAAAATGTAATTAAAAAAATAAATTAAATTAAATTAAAATAAACTGAACTAAAATACTTAAATACAATTAAATTAAAACAATAAATATATTAACAAAAATTATTTTTTAATCAATTGCATTTTAACTGATTTTCCATCTACCCTAGTACATACATTTTGAGCAAATTTCTTACTAAATACTCAAGTGAATTTCGATTTGTCAGTTTGAAGTGCAAAGCAAAAATAATTACTCGTACTTGAACGTCATTTTCACTGCCAATCCGTTGCAATTATTTTCTTCTTCTTCTTTTAAATTATTTTAACATTTTTTTCTGTTGTTGTTTTTGTGCATAGCGCGACTATTTGTCGGACGCCTTATTGGCGTGTAGCATAGATAATTGTTTTATGGTGTTAAGGTGATTATTATTATTTTTTTACAAGGAGTATAAAATATTTGTACTTGTAATTAGTTTTTTACTAATTTTAATTTTTTTTTATGTATATAAATATGAGTGTGTAACGCAAAAACAAACTTTCTGTAATTTTATTTATATTATTGACATAAGCAAATGCTATTGTCTGTATTGAAAATAATTTTTAAAATTTATATAATTTTTTTTTTTTTGACATTTATGATGGCAACCCTTTCTCTCCCTCCCTCTCTCTGTATTTAGCTGTAATAAATTATAAATCAGTCAGCTATTAAACACACGTGCATATATTCAGTAAAGAAAAGCATTATAAAATACTTGAATCTATTCGAGTCAAATTCTACTTGTATACATATTTATCATAATTAATCACATTCTTCATCCATCTCAGGCAATAAAAGCCGCCCTTGGGTGTAGGCAGTCGTGCATTAAATAAATGCAATTCAATACAAATGATCACTTATCTAGTGCCACAAGTGCTCGTTTACATGCAGGCAATTGATTGCTGGAAGCAAAAAACGATTTTTAATTCAAAATAATTAAGAAAACTTATTTAAAGGGAAATCATAAATAAAATTATAGCATAATAAAATAAATAAAGTAAAATACAACGGAGTTAAATAAAATTATACATATAAAAAATTGAATAAAAATAAACTAAAAAAAATTGTAAAATTAAATAAAACAATATTTGATAATAGAAATAAAGAAACAAAATAATATAAATTAATCAAAATACAAAAATAAAATGAAAAAATTAAAGTAAGAATAAATAAAATTAAATTAAATCAAATTAATTAAAATAAAAGTAGAAATAAAAATTTAGCAAATAAAATGAAGAAAAAAAATTAATTAAAAAGAATTAAACTAAAATAAATTAAAACATAAAATGTAGAAAAGGGAAAATAAAACCAAATAAAATTAAATTAACAAATATAGTATATTTAATTAAAAGAACATAACGAATTAGAGAAAAAGGTTAGTTAAATTAAAATAAAATTTAATTTTAATTTATTATATAATTTTATATATAATGAAATAAAAAAGTGTGATAATTAATAATATAAATAATTAAATTAAATATAACAAAATAAAAAAAAAGAAATCAAAATAAAATATGGTATAATGAAATAAGGAAATAAGAAACAATTAAGGAAATAAAATATGACGATTAAAATTAAAATAAAATAAATTTATATAGAATAAAATAATATNAAACTAAAATAAAATAAAATAAAATTAAATAAAATAAATTAATATAAATAAAAGAAAATAAAATTAAATAAAATAAAATGCATTAGTCAAAATATAAGAAAATTGAAAAATGAAATAATATAATGCAATAAAAAAATTAATAAATAAAACTAAAACAGGCTAAAATAGATTAAAACTTAATTAAAGTAAACAAAATAAAATTAAATTAAATAAAAACTAATAATTTCAAATAAAATAAAAAATAAAGTAAAATAAAATAAAAAAATGGAAAAAATAAAATTAAATATTATTGAACAAAATTAAATTAATTAAACTAAATTGAATCCAAAAATTAAGCAAAAAAAGGAAACGGAACTGAAAAAAATTATAATAAAATTTAATGAATGAAAAAAAAATTGTTTTAAAAAAAATTAATCTTAACATAATGAAAAAAAAAATTAAAAGCTTATTAAAAATAATATTTAACGAAATTAAATAACGTAAAAGAACATAAATTAAATAAAGTTAAATAATGATTAAATATAATAGAAGATAACTTAAAATTCAATTAAATACATCGAACTAAAATTAAATTAAATAAATTAAAATTAAATACCAATTCAATAACAACAAATAACATAAAGTAAAATAAGATGAAAAAATATAAAAATAAAATATTATAATTAATACGATTTATAGTTTAAAAAATAAAAGTATTTAAGTATGCATAAAAAATAATAATTTATTTTGTATAGACAAAAATAGTTCTAATTCTAAACACAATTGGAAAACTTGCTTGCCAATAGCAGTAAATATTCTTTAACGCATCCTCAAACCAACATTGAATTTTGATTGCATTTTAAGTTGAATTTCGTCAAGTCAACACTTCAGATATTTCGAAAAGTTAGCAATGTGGCGTCGTACTCGTAACGCTTATCTCGCTTCTAAATGTAGATAAGAAGAAGACGTTTGACGTAAAAATTGCTTTTGCTTTTGCAAAAATATTCAAATCACGCTTACTTTGCATTTAAAGAGAGCCAGGAAGAAGAAGAAGTATGAAATCTTGAGATAAATATATTAAATCACTGTACTCGTACAAACATAGCGCTTTTGCAGGCAATTCCAAGTGAAAACACTCTTCATCGGCGGCGTTTGCATATTCAAGCTTATACATATAGAAATTGATTATGCATACTCGTACATACATATATGTATATATGATGGCATTTTCATTAGCAGCATTCAACACTCCAAAGAATTCTAATTTCATAAAATGCAAAATCATTGTGAATTCGCGATTTCGCTTCACCTGTTCACAATGGTGCATTTCAGTCAGCTGTTGCCGACGGTTTGCTTACAAATTTTGTAAATTAAAGTAAAAGAAGAGTGATCGCGCTGCCGGGAAAGTGACATCAAATGTAGTTCGTTACAAAGAAAATTGAAAAGGGAAAGGCGATCAAATAAATTATTCCTAGATGAGCACATTGAAGTTGTGGCGCGATAAATCGGAAAAAGTTGAAACCTTATTGGAACTGGTCAGAAGTGGAAATCGATTGAAGGACACTTCCAACCTCTTCTCTTCCAGATACTTACAATTGTTGACGTTCAAACCTTTAAAAAAGTCAATTTTGTGTACTAATCATATTAAGTTCGTGCCATCGAGGAGTTTTCTTGGGGCAGCATACATTTTCATTTAAAGTTGAAGCGCCTTTCGACAGTTGCAGAAAATCATAATATTAAGAGAGCAATGAAAAACAACTGTGGATTCGAAATTTCAAGCTAATAATGGCCTACAGCCATCAACGTCGAATATCTCAATCGATTTTAGGGCATTGCCAGACTGCCAGGTTTTGAGAAAACATTTTTTGTATTAAAGACCAGATCATGACATGTAGGAACCGTCCAAAAAAAGGAGCTCACAGTTGAGAGAAAGCGATACTAGGGTGTGTTGTAAATAGTTATTAGTAAGCGCGGTTCTATAAGCAAAATACACAAGAAAGGTGAGACGACTCTGCATAATCGGACAGAACTTTCTTTTCCTAGATTTTTTTTCAAGAGAATCGAATGTACAATAGCTCATATAAGAAGCTGAATTGCTTGAAATTTCCGCCAAATGCCCACAAAAAATTAATTCATTGCTTGAAAGCGCAAGTTGAAAGGTCCTCTGACAGAGAGAGTTTGCCCTTAAGCCAACACTTAGCTAATCAGACTCACTAGCAAGGCCCAACTAAACAAAATTCAGTACCTCCACCCATCGAGGAAAGTTTCTTCCTCTCTCTAAGGATAATAAATTTTTGCTAGAGTATCTTCTTAGGTATTTGCTAGACTAGGTTATTCCAACATCCAGCGGAAGGCCCTAAAAGTGAGCTTCGATGGTTTCGTTTCAAAAGGAAAAGATTGTTAGAAGGCTTGGTTTTAGAGAGTACACAAAGAGTTGGTTCGTGTCGCGAAAGAAGTCAATGCATTCTGAGCAGTTCTTTCGCCTCTATCGGGGGTATACTGAAGATTTTGTCATTCTTTACGGAAGCATTACATTTTGCTCATTCTGCTTTTCCACATTTTTCTGATGAGCTCTCGGGTGTAGAGTCTGACATAAGGCTCTGTTATTTTTAGTTATTTCATAGCACCCACTTTTTTGTATGCCCACCAATGGTTCCTGAGAACTGAGATGCTGCTCTAGCACCTATTGCTTTTAAAATTATTTGAAAGTTTCGCGTTCTTAGGCAGTACGAGGTGACTTCGTTCGGGATAGCCGCGGAGCAATTCAGCTGGCTCGTCCTCCTTACCTAAAAGCACTGCGAGTTGAATAGCTTTAATCGCCGATTTCTTAATCTCATTAGGAATCGAATAACCTTCTTTGTACAGGGGAAAGCTCACTTACCTTTTTTGCTACAAAAGAACTCTGCTCTTCTGCATTTCCTTAACATTTTGAACCATCGGCTTGAATCGGAGGATAGTAAAGCTTATTTTCTTCTTAACCGAAATCGAATTAACTCGGTCATCGCGCCAGACTAAATCGAGTGCCTTAACAAGAGCTGTTGTGCAAGAGGCGGTTAGTCCTAAACGCAGTTTCTTAGTCCACGAATAAAGTGACTGGTGTCTTGGCAAAGACCGAGACCGAGCACCGATATACCATAGGTTCGTAAGGATGGAGCTATATTTGTTGGGAGTCGCTAGTCCATGGCTCTTTTCCAGTGAGCGGAGCTCAAAAACTAGCTCCTTGCACCAGTATAGACTACGTCCGGAAGACTGGCTGTTCCTGGACTGTTTCTCGCTCCAGGTAGTCAAAAAAGTTGCTTTGGACCATGACAGCGCCGACTAAATGCCCCCTTTCTGGGTTTCTGAATTCATTTTTTTACGAAATTCTTTCGTCTTCTTCTGCGTTTATTGCCTAAGGGTCAATTATGTCAATAGCTTTGTCATTTAGGACTCAGCCTCGTTCTTAAAATAACGGTCTTCTTTGCAGAAAAAACGTTTTCTGTGCCGTTTTGGTCACTCGCAGGTATTCGCGCGCCACGCCGCGACAATACACTCACACTCATCTCGCTGATATACACATTCTACCGAGTAAAAATTGTTGGCGTCCGTAATCTTAATTAAACTACAGTTATTATCTTGCTGATAAGATTGCTAAACGTCCACGCATAAATACTAACTTTATGTTTCTTTCTTCTGTTCTTTTTTTTTTCTTTGCAGGCAACAGCAAGCAGTCTGTGTACGGAACGCATGATATTATGGCTTTGGCTCCCAACTGAGCAGAGACACAACAGGAGCAAAGTTTTTCGACCAAGAGCTGGTGGGTTTTAGCCCCTTTTCACACAAATATATATACTAACTGGCGCTGGTTTAAGACACACAAATTATGAGCAACATGAAAAATGGTTTCTCCACACTCAATCGTTGGTTGGGCAAGAAGAACAAAGGTGAGTTTTGAAGACTCTCGGCTTTTTTTTAATTTTTTTTTCAATTCTTTCATTGATTTCTCTACTCGTTCCAGCTGAGAAAGCCACAACCAATGGCAAACTCTCCAAATCCAGCACAAACCTGAACAGTTTGTCCGTCTCGTCGACGAACATCAACGAAACTAGTCAGCTGGAATACAATCGCATCACACCCCTGCCGGTGGCCACAAGCAATGCGCCCTTCGAGCAGACCTTCCGCATAACCGTGCTGCTGCCAAAGGATCAGCTATATGTCGCACGTTTGGGCGCGCGTGTACCGCTCAGCAAACTCTTGGAGTTGGTGTGTGAGAACAAGCTGCTCGATGCTACCAAGTACGAATTTAGAAATCCAGTTGACTATAGTCAGGTGTACAACTGTGATTTGACAATTGGCGCTGTGGGCCTCTCGGAGATACGTTTATGTCACAAGTCCGAATCGTATGATAATTTCAATGCAGATGAGATAATCAAACTGCATCGCACGGCGATCATACGCGACTCGCTCTCCTCGTCGGAGTTCAGCAGCCGCTACTCAAAGCACACAACAAAGACCACTAGTCCCTACAGCTCGAGCAATTCACTCAACTCGATGGATTCGACTGGCATGAATTGCGTGCGCACACCCGTTTCACCGCCCGCAACGCTCATCAGCGCGCCGAGTACGCAGTCGTTGAAAATGGCTGCGCCACCACGCAAGAAACGCGCCGCACCACGGCCACCGAGCCAAACCGCCATACCGGAGAAGACGGTGTTGGTTACAACCAATGGTGAGCCAAACCCCAATGGCACGCACACGAATGGCATTGACACAGCGCAAGCAGCTGAGGATGCGCTGTCGCGTAAAACACGCTACGTTTCGACGCCCAACCTCTCGACGTCGCCGGACGATGTAAATGGCTTCGATTGTAATGGCAATAACGGTGCACACACACCAAACGGGGAACTGGAGATGAGCTTAAATGGTTACGATCATTTCGACGGCGAGCACGAGCAAGCACAGGTCAAGCAGAAGAATGCGCGCAATTTATGCGGCGGCAGCGTGCAGAATTTAAGCAGTGCCAGCGCAGCGCAGCAGTCTATGGAGTTCCCAGAGCCGTCGCCGCGTAAACGCATGATACAGATAAAGAAGAAAACCGTTGCGCCAGCGCCACCGCCACGAGGCGGCGCTTATGCTGATGCAGACACGCTCTCCTTGCGTTCCATGACACCATCCACAGCACCGGACACGCCACTAACGCCGCTAACACCCGATTCGCCTTTGCTAGAACATGCGCACACTTTACCTAGCAATTTTAAAGCGCAGTCTCCGGCACCACAAGCGCGCGAACCCAAAGAAACTGCGTCAACAACGCTTGAGACGCACGACAAGGCGGCTGCAGTGCCAAAGCCTTTGCCACGTGTAACAACAAATACGCTGCTGAACGCTAGCAACACCGAGCTGGTTGAGCCGGTAACACCACTAACAACAACAAATGTTTCCAAAATTATGCTAAATCGTACGCCAACGCCGGAGCCGCGTTCACTTTCCGCCGAGCCGCCGCAATGCGTTAGTTTTCTGGGCGCGCATATAGCTGGACTTAAAAACGGCGTGGCTTCAGAGCACGATAGCTGGACTTAAAAACGGCGTGGCTTCAGAGCACGAAGACGACGATGTGTCGTCGAAACAAACAGACTCGGGCAGTTTTCTGGGCGCGCACATAGCTACGCTCAAAAGCGAGGCCAGTTTACCACACGACGATGACAGTGTATCCAAGCAGGCAGACTCGGGCATCGGGGAGCCCGTACCATCGCCAATACCCGACAGTCTGCCATCGGTGAGTTCGACGCATGACGGCAAGTCGGCCTTCGAGTCGAGCTCCGATGACGATGACATTGTTAAGGTGTATAATTTTAAGCTTGGTAAAACGGTGGCCAAGTCACCCGCGGAAGCGCCACAAACTTTGGAAGATTTCGTAGTTTTAGCTGCTGAGGCGCAAACAGATAGCGGTGAAAACACGCCAGCGCCAATCACACAGGAAGCGACACCAAACTTCTCCGACAGCGCTTCGTGGAACTTTTCCATACCGATTTCGCCGCCACCCAACTTCGCGGATGGACGTTTCGCGGAAGGGTTTGCCAGCGAAAAGCCCGACATGCCCATAACGCCCAAAATAAAAGAGCGTCCCGTACTGGACTTTGAAGCAATTTCACATAACGAGAGCTGTGTGGGTCCAGCAAGCAATAGGGATCAGAAAGCGCACGCCTCGAGCGAGACACAACTCAAGGCAGAGCGAATGACGCCCTTACCAAGTCCAACAACGCCTTTAAATGAAATCGTAGACGAGCTCTCAGCAATAATCAGCGAAAAACGTTTGGACACGCTGATTAAAAAGCCGGAGGAACAACCAAAGATAGAAGCTGTAAAGCCGAACACGCTGACGAACTTCAGCATTACAACAATAACACAGCAGACGGCAGAAAAGGAAACAGAAATGGCAAAAAGCATCGACAGAAAAGCCGAGATTACTTCAGAACAGACACCGACACCTGCCCAGCACGCACCGGTGCAGCAAAAGTCACCTCCCGAAGTAGAGCTTGAAAGGAGCTCTACACAAGATCACGCGCCAACCGCACAAATCGTTGACGCCACAATCGAGACCAACGGCTACAACACCAGCCGCAGACGCTCCTCAGGCGAACTCAGCATTGGCGAGACGCCTACGCTACAGAGTCCAGAGATGGTCAAGACAATTTTGAATTCGCGCAAAAATAGCACAGCCAGCAGCAGCAGCGGCGGCGGAGGCGGAGGCGGGGAAGGTGAGTCCAAAGGAGTTAAGGTATTTTCAAAAGCCGCTGAGACAGTGCCTCAAGCGGAGCCACCAAAGAACGTTGTTAACGCAAGCGTGGAGCATAGTGTAGATGTTAAACAAGCAACGAACGATCCTCCAGCCTCTACTAAACCCAAAGAGCTACCCAAAGTATACCGTTATTCCGGACCGCCAAGCATTAATTTCTCCACCTGGAGTGAGCGCCCCAAAGTGCAGGTGGCCATAAAGAACGAAGGCGATTACATATTCGGCGGCAAGAATGCGGACAGTCAAAGCGCCGCCGTCACCACAGCAGCCATCGAGATCAGTACGAACACCAAACTGTACAATCGCAGCAATCGCGTCTCAATGCCGGCTTTTTGGGCAGAGCGCGAGAATGCGTCGCTGCCAGCACCGCCTGTAGCGCCAAAACCCGCAAGCAAAGCGTCACCCACAGAGCGCATGGGCATACCCGAGAAGGAGTACCGCGTGCCGGTGAACGTTAAGCCGTTGCGTGATGTGACTATCGAAAATGTGCCGGCACAGGCGGCGGAGAGTGTGATGACACAAGCAGCCACGCGCAAAACTACGAGTATAACAACTGTTTTGCTTAACGGTAATGCCACCGCGGCAGCAGAAAATCACATTGAGGAGACGCACACAAGACGTACACACACATCCACGCTACCGCGCAGTAATGCCAATCGCTTTAGTATGCCGCCCACCAGCATTACGGTGGGTCCCGCCTTGTTGCGCTCAACCTCCATCTCACAGTTGGAGGCGAACAAGCTTAAGCCGGCGCATAATGCAAGCGCCGCAACAGCGCCAACGCCGGCGCCATTTGGACAGAACACCTTGCGCAAGACTGGGTTGAAGGAGAAGATACTCGCTAAAGAAGCGGCGTCTAAGGACGATGACGAAAGCGCTGCACCAACCCACCAACAGGAAAAGTCAAGCGCACAAACAACAGCAGCGTTCAGCGTAAGCGGCGTTAAACACAAACCCTTGAAACCGTTACAAAGTGCCAAATTGGAAATGCAACTTTCGGGTACGTCGACGAGCGCGCATTTAAACCGCACGAACGCGACGCCTACGCCAAAGTTCACAACTACAACGACAACGATTACACAGTCATTTGAAAAATCTAAATCTATGTCTCTAGCACCAACAACAACACCAACGCCACCGACGCCACCAGCACCACCGCTGGCGCCGCTTAAAGCCGTTGCGCTACACACACCCAACGGCGGCGCGCCTACAACGCCCAGCGGCGCCGAGCCAAGGGATCAACTGTTGCTGGCAATACGCAGCTTTAAGCGGGAAAACTTGACGCGCGTTTGAAGCTGAAGCCGAAGCGTGCCGTGGGTGGGTTTAGTCACAAAATGTTGTACTGAATTGTTGTAAAATATTATGTGTAAATTTGTTTTTATAAATATTTTTAAATGTTACTATTTTTTCTGCTTTTTTATTTTTATTTTTTTTTTTAATAATTTTCTTTTTAAAAAATTTTTTTGCTTTTTTTTTTTTTGAGGAATTTTAAACGAAAAAAGTTTTACTAAGCCGAAGTCAACGTAATTTTATTAGTCTAATTTTATTATTATTTTAAAATTTAAGTGGTGAAACTAAGCGCGAACAGCTATTCACAATGAGCAGCCGCAGGGTTGCATTTGGTTGCGCTTACATTTGTTAAATGATGGCAAGCCGGCAAATGCTGGTGAAGGAGGGCAAAATGCAGGCAGATATGCCTATTTAATATATTATTATTATTATTATTATTATTATACAAAAATACATACATACATATAAATAAAGAAAATATTAATAGAATTACATACAAACATATATGCAAATATGGAATATAAATAAAAACAAATTAATATATACAAATATAAAGAATTAACATAAACTGCTACTGTAATGTTATAAACAAAGAAATATACAAACATACATACAAACGAAAAAATACATACATACCTAAAGCAATATTTTTCCCCAAAAAATCCTTATTCAACACACTAAAAGCACAAACAAAATAGGAAAACAACTAAGCAAATATTTTCGAAACTGGAAATAACGCGCAAAATACATTGGAAGCAGCACTTCTAACGGTACTACTTCATTTCAAAAATCGAAAATTTATTTTTAAAAAATATTTTCTGTAAATTATTTACAAAAATAAGTCTGGGTGTTTGTATCGGAGCTGATGTCTGTTGTTTAAAAACACCTTATGCATTTTATTTATAAATATATATATATTTTTTTTTTTGTTTTTAATAACTGTAATATACATACATATATATATAACTACATATGTACAATATAATGAAATGGATTATTAAATTGTTGAGAATAAACCACAATTAATATAAAAAACTTTGTTGTTTTCATTTTATTTTATTTTTTTTTTTTTGTAATTTTTTCAATTTAAACTATTTTTTTTCTACATTTTATGAACTTATGGAACAGCCGTTTTTTTAACAATCTTATCACACCATTGGGCACTTTTTTTCAATTTTAACGATTTTTCTTACATTTTGTGAACTTGCGGAGCACCAGCGGTCGTTTACACGACTTTGTGAACTTACGGAACGGCATTCCTTTAAGCTTGAACGGCCTTTTCAAGCCGTTTAATTCACGAGCTTTGAGATTTTTTCAATTTCAAAAATTTTTTTTTTACATTTTGTGAACTTTTGGAACATTATTAATTGTTTCCAACACTGTTTATCACAAATTTTTGTTTTTTTCAAAATTTTAACTTTTTAACTTTTAATTTATATGACAAATGTGAACTTTTGAAACAGCAGTAAAAAATTTGAACTTTTTAAAAGAAAAAATTTATAGTGCTGAAAAAAAATGTCAGATGGCCCTGGTACATGACACGAAATGGTCAACAAGTGTAACTCGGAAACCACTGGAACTGCTCATAATACGAAAAGGTGTGTCTACTTATGATTTTGAATTGAATTTGCCCTATACGAGTATAACGTATTTTCGACTTTCCAGCCCCTTGACTGATGATCAAATATTGAAACACTAAATACTTCTTCTTCTGCTTCTCACCGCTTACACGAATACGGCCGAATCGAATGGCTCATCAAACAACTTGTAGTTTGGTATTTGTTCGTGGAAAGTGGACTTTACTTTTCAACTGTCTACTCATTCCAAAGCAGCAACTGTTTTGGAGCGTTTGATCTCGAAGCGAACAGTTATATCGTTCTGATTCTTAGATAGGCAATCTTCTTCTCATTCACAACCAAATCTATTCGCCTCGCTTCCTTTTCAGTCTGTTGATAGTAGAACCAACGGCTTCTTCCTTCCCTTTTTAGCTCTCGGTATATAGCTCAAACCCACCGGAATCCAAAATACAGTCCTTTTAAGGTGTTGTTGAGGAGTGCTCTTATAGGGTTCATGCTAAGAGCTCTGAGAGTATGTGCCACAAAGACTCGGAGATATGCATTTCGTCATCTCAATATCGTAGACTCCTATTCCTAACAACCGCATTACGGGCTTCGGCATATTGAATTAACTTCAGTCCATAGCTCTTATAAATGGATTCAACAATTTGACTCCAATGAGCTCTTCAAACGAGGTAGCTTTACGTAAGCTTCCTCCATTTTAGTTACGCAAGGCGGTGTTCAGGCAGACGCAGTCATATGTGGAGTGCCGGCACCCAGAGCTATCGTGTAGTGCAATAGTTGGTAAGGTCGGCGAGTCTACCATTGCTTCATATCCTACAACAGGCGTGGCAATCGAATAAAATTTTCAAAGGAGTACGGGGTAGGGTAGGCCTCTCGTAAGAGGCAACTAAATTGAAAAAGTTCACGCTACAGTTGGGTATTTATACTGGAACGACCCGGAATTGTATCCACCCAAAGACCGTCACTCCCGCACCACTCCCCACAACAACAACTGTCTTGTTAAGTCAATGTTGGTATTGTTGTGGGGCTCAAGAATTTACCCGTGCTAAGGCATGCCTTTCGTAAGAGGCGACTAAAATCCAATAGTTCCTGCGACAGTCGAGTCTTTATACCGGATTTTTATCCGGCCAAGATCACTATCGCTATCACTCCCGCAATATTCCCGTTACTACAAAAACTATTGTGGTTACCAGTCAGAAAATATCCCACTAACCTGACTTAACCTAACTTTTCCAGTTATTTGCTCTTGCTTCTCCTACTATCCTTTCTAAACTCTCAATATTGAAATAATTTTTTGAAGCCAAATTTCTTTCATTGATTTTTGTATAATTTCCCCCGAGTTGATTGTAAAGTATTTCAAATTATTGACTTTAATTTTCCTTTTCGCTTCGATGCAATCCACGTTGATCTTCGTACCGTTATATTTTATTTATTTTCATATTTTACTAACAAATAATTAATAATTAGATTGGCTGGTTGACACCCATCGCAGTTTTGGTGAGCAAGCCGTTGTCTCCCATATCCTCATTGTAGCCAGCACGATACTTCATACCAGGCGCCTGTTATTGGAAAGAATATTATGAAGATTAAAAAAACTCTTAACTCGCAAAACAAACAAAAACAACAAACAAATATACTTACATTATACCACACATCACGCCAAATTTTGCTACTCTCCGCATCGCGTACCAATTCGGGCACGTCGTAACGTGGCACATTGAAATAGTTCATCAAAGTGTTTTTCTCATTGCAAAACTTGATGCGAGCCTCACACCATTCTGCCTCGAGTGGAAAACGCCAATCCTTCATTTTCTTATTGTGGTGATCAACTTCGAATTGATCGAAATCGATACGTTCAATATCTTCAACGACTACTTCGGTCTCACCACCAGCAGTCCAATCGTATACCAAGATTTCGGCGTGAGTGCTAATGTCCTTGAGGAAATGCTGTTTATAGAACGTTTCCAGATCCTTTAAGTAGGTGTCGTTGAAAACTTTCGAATTGACTTCGTAGTCAATATTGCGTGCCTTTATACGTTGCTAAAGTTGCATAAAATAGATAAGGAAAATATTAGAAAATTAAATAATTAATTGCATTCATATACCTTCACAGCATCGACGGGGCAGTCCAAGTAGATAACCAAATGCGGTTTAAGCAGTTCGTTAATGGTATTTTGACGGATTTCGTGATATACGGAATGAGCGCCGCGTGAGATATAACCATTTTTATGCATAGCCTCCAGGAACACGAAGTCCGAATAGCAACTACGATCCAAAACAACACCCTGGCCGGTGGAAAGTACATGTTGTAAGGCATCAATGTACTGCGAGTATCTCAGCATGTACATGCGTATCTGGAATTGTGCCGCCAGAGGATGATTGGGTTCACGGCAGAAGTTTGATACATCATACGAGCGGCAGAGCTCCGGCAGTTGTGGATCCAATTTACGCATATCATAGCCATATGAATTAATATAAATCAAATCCATGTTTACTTCCGGAAAATAGCACATTTCCAACTCATCTGCAAGCTCTTTGGCAAACTTGCTTTTACCGGCGCCAATTGGACCTTCAACGCAGATAACTTTTGAATTTTCATCCATGCGTTTCGAAGTTTTATCGAAAAACGAATTCAGCACGGTGTAACGCTTTTCCTTGTAGGGATATGGTGGTTCCCGAGGTACGCGTGGACCACCGCGCATCGATTTGCCCATAATAGTTGCCTTCTGCGTCAACGCCATCGGCGAAGCCGCCTGAGTGTTCAACAATGCAGGAGCGGCATTACGCCCGCAGAGACGTACAATGCCCACACGGAAAACAGCAGCCATACTGAAATGCAAACAAATAATAAAATTATTTTACGCCAGTGTTGTATGGAAACTAATAATACTATGCGTATTGCCTTTAAACGCTATAGCAGAAAGACATTACATCACAGCTCTTAACTGAAAATGTTCGCCCAATGCATATTTGCATGAACTGCTGTGTCTGTATTAATTTTTAATTTTAAGACACGTCAAACGCTATAAGCAAAGTGCCGGTGGTTATTTATTGCTTTGATTTCTGCTCGAACTTTAAAACTCACCTTTAAAACACTTTATTTTAGAATTCCTATTTATTTTTCACGCCAATGAACGGTGGTCCATCAGTCGAACAGCTGTTGACGACAGCCTTTCGAAGTAGTTGATGGGTAGCACTGATAGCGCACAGGGTGGTAGTTGTAGAAAAATTATTTTGTTAAACGAGATTTCTTGTTGGATTGGAAATCCAAGTAAAACAGAAAATTTTTTTTTTCTAATTTGACTTAAAACTCATTTTGAATTACCTCTCCCTCTTATTAGTGATTTTGCAGAGAACCTAATATATCTGACAATAAATTGGCTCCAGCTGTTTTTGATAGCATTTATAAACACCAACAGTTTGAGTTGCACTGTGAAACTTTGGTGAACTTTGCTTTCAAGGCGGGATCGTCAGTTTTATAAAAGCGCAGCCGCGGAAATGAAATTTCCCAAAAATCCTGTGCATATTTAGGGCGGAAACTCTTTTATGATATACCAGAAATATTAGGCATTATAACGTATCGAACGGTTTTCAAAAGCGGTCAGATTTTCACGTTGCTTGGAAAGAAAAATCATAAATATTTAAAATTTTCAATTCAATTGAGCAGCAAATAATGTAAATGTGCATAAAACTGCAGTATTAAGTGAAATTTTAATAGGTGCGTAAGAGGCGTACAATACAAGCACATATACATACATACATCTGCAATTAATCAAGTGCGTCATACAAATTGATTGTGCACTCAAGCACACAAGAGTGCTTTCAATGCAAGATTCAGCGAGGATACGTGCTCTGTTGCAAAATTAAATACATTCAAATGAATGAAGAAGATAAACTATATTTAGTATGAAAGTATTACAAAAGGCTTAAACACTTTTTTTGTTAAAAAAACCAATTAAAAAGTTTTTCTTTCGGTTACACCTACACATTTAGTATGCACAAAAGGAAGCTGCGGATTGCCAAACGCATATCGGAAGTAATCTTTTGTACACGTCAATTATAAATTGCCTGCATAGCACATATGTATGTACAAAACCAGCAACGACAACGACAACAATAATAACAACAACAGTGTAACGCAAAGACAGCTTCCTTATTTCCTTCAACAGCATTTCGCACACCGCCTGCCAGGGTCAGGAAAATAGGCAAACGCTTGTCGTCACTAAAGGGCAACCGCCCGCCTCTCGCCACCCGCCAAGCGCCACAAGCAGCTTTCAAATGAAATGCAAGCACATTATACAGTTTTAGAGCCACTGCCTGCACTGCACTTGACGCAAACAAAATTTCAACGCACTTCCACCAAATACCAATGCAAGGAAATTAAACAAAAGATACAAAAACAACCAAAAAAAAAAAAAAACAAGGAACAAAAAATTCCCTTTTGGTGAGAAATAACATCGTGTATGCTGCTGCTGCTGCTGCCGCAATACGAGCACAGGCACTGCATGCCGGCTAAATACACAATGCCCATCGTGTGTCTATAAACAACATATGTATGTACATGTGGGGCGGTGCGGTGCGGCGGGGGCGTTCCGTATTTTGAAACATAAACAAACAGAAATTTCGCTGCGAGGGTGGGTGGAACATGCGCAGCGCCCACTTGTAATTTTTTAACCTATCCGTCCGTCCGTACGTCCGTCCGTCCATGCGTCTCTCTGTGCTGGCTCTCTGTTTTCATCTCGTTCAATGTTTGCACTGTTTGCTCACTAGTCCACGATAAACGATGCGAAATAAAAAGTAAAGAATATAAAATTCAAAAAGCTTTCGCTGCAACGTTTGCCTTACGTAAATATTTGTACAGAGTTTCTAATCAACTGCTTGGTTGTGCCAAGTGCCAGAAGACACTTTGGTATACTTAACCACTTGCCTACTAAGTACACATGCTCCACTCATTACATATATTTGCATACACACATATGTATATATTCTTGCACTAACACACACACACACGCACATATACACACTTATATGTATCTCGCGCACATTGATACTTGCTCAATGCTAATGCCAACATTTAATACTTTCCGGTCGGCGCAGCAGTCGTCGCTGTCCAATCGACATAACCGAACCGCCACACGATGCTGATACGTTGGAAGAGCAAAGATAAAAGTTCATCGAACCAGAGTAGCGGCAATAGCAGCAGTAGCTCATCAAAAAAGAAACGAAAAGGACGCGAAGCAGGTGGGTATGGGGGTAAATGTGAATATATTTATTTGAATAGCTTGTAGAGCTAATACACATACATACACGCATACATGCATATATACATATGTACAAGGTGTAGCACAATTTATTAGAAGTGGGTGTTGTTGGGTTATGGAGTTGTATTGTTCACATATATTTACACGTGGATTGTCCATTTCCGTGTCGCAGTGTCCTTTGTAATCAATATGTATATGTATGTATATGTAAATACAGCACGAAGGTGTCAGCATTTGTTTACTCGTTAGCTTCATTTTGCCGGTAGCTTTGTTAGCTGACAGCAAGCACTGCGCGTCTAATATGCGGATCAAAAGGATAATCCCGCGTCAACTTGAATACTCGGACCTGCACTTTTATACAAACATATGTATGTATGTATATACATAAGTGAATTCACAACTACACAGCAGCTAAGCGAGTCAATAGCGTCATTTTACACAATTTGTCAATTTATCAAAAAATGCAGACGATAATAGTCAGACGTCGGTCTTAAGATTTACTCTATATGTACATATATACATATATATGTGTATATATAATATTATGTTTAATACCGACCAGTTTGTGTACGTTTAACCGGACCGTGTAAAATCAGCGACATTTCTATTAAGACGCTTGCGTAAGTTGCAACACAGACAGGCAGGAAGTCTGAGATAAATATTTGTGAATAATAATAATAATTTTTCTTTTTAACGACACTTGTGCGTATTATGAGCGATTTATGTGCTGAGGGCTCCGCTATATTTACACCCACTGCATTCATATTTTATACATTGCTTCCAGAAGAAGACTGGCAGAATGAGGCGAAAGCAGGACGTATGCCGACTAATGAGCAGGGTAAGCATTTGTCGCAATATATATATATATATACATACATATGTATGTTAATTAACAAATATGTATGTTATTATATATAATATGTACATTATGCTTTTTTCCTACGCACAGTTAGCGATCATCGGCGTGGCATGCGACGTGACGATCCACGCCGGCATACATTAGGCGGTGACATGATTATGTATGCCGGTAATCAAGCACAACAGCAACAGCGCGCCATGGATCTAGAGGTATGTAGTTTAAGCGAAATTGTAACAAAATGAAAAATACTTAAGAAAATCACTACTTCTTTATTGCAAAACACACCCGCACAGATGAGCACGCGCGCACAGAAGAACAAAAAGGTACGAGAAAATCAATTTCGGCTAAACAGTCAATTATTTGACCGCTATGTTTATCGATCTGTGGCTGCTATTGAAAGTGTTTATCGAACAAACTGTCTGTCAACTGCTATTGTTGTTTGTTTGTTGAACAGGCGCTATTGTGAATTTCAGTTGCGTTTGTTTACAATGGTGCATTTCTGTCGGCTGTTATGGGCTTTCTTGTAAATTGTGCGCATTTAAATAAAAGGAAATAGGTGTGACATTTAAAAAGTGAAGGCAAATAAATATGTATGTAGTTTATTACAAATAAAATACACTTCAAAGAGAGGGAAAGTAGTTAAAATATGCTTCAGGGAAATGTGTGCGGCAAAGTTTTGATTAAAGGCATCAGAGGAGACCCTGCCGTAGTCCCAAAAGTAGAAAACGCTTGCAACGCTTTTTATGTTAATTTCCAAACATTTTTAAATGCTTAACACTTTCGCATATGATTTTTGCTTCATTGAGTGTTTCATTGCAACAGTGAAACCAACTTTTATATGTTTTTTTGTACTCGCGAACGTTAGACAATAGAAAATTAATGAAAATCAGTGTTTAATTAAGAAAGGAATATTAATAAAAATAACAAATTATAGAAAAATCTCAACAAATTCAATAACTTTGCTACACGCCCATATAGTAGGGAGAAAAAAAATTTAAAATTCAGTAAATTTAGATCCGACAGAATTTGAAATTCGATTTTCGATAGCCAACATAGATATAATCGATTTTTTATGTATATTTATCTAAAAAAAATAAGCATAAATTTGACAAAATTTAATTTAAATTACTTCAAGAACAATGTGCCACGCGGCTATACGCCCTTGAATCAAGGTCCTCTATTCGATGACGATCCGGGCATTATGTCAGAAGTAGAAACAGCAAGCACTGGTTTTCGACGCGGCAACAAGCAAAGATCTTCGCTGCCGGTAGTGCGTACGCCATCGAAAACTTTGGAGCGTCCTTTAGGTAAGTGACCGCCAATATACATATGTATGTATGTACTTAAATATTTACCTTTCGATTTACGATTTTTTTTATCCGAATCTCTTCACTTCTCTTCTCCCACACAGGCTTGGTATTTCTGCAGTATCGTTCCGAGACGAAACGCGCTTTGTTGCCTAACGAAATCACCTCAATCGATACAGTGCGCGCACTTTTCGTACGCTCATTTCCACGTCAACTCACCATGGCTTATCTGGAGGGACCAAATGTTAAGATCTACATACACGATGCGAGTAAGGATATGTTTTATGAATTGGAGGATGTACGTTCACATTTGCGTGAGATACGTGATCGCTCGGTATTGCGACTTTTCGAGTCCACTGAGGTCGCTGCGCCGCCACAAATTCTACCCGGTGGTGCGGGCGTGCCACAACCGTTGCCGCCAGTTACGGCGAATCATTGGGATCAAGATCAGGTAGGAGGAAAATGGAATTACTATAAAATGTGCATAAAATAACGGTTAATTCGAAAAAAAAAATTGTTTCAGAGTTACTTCAGCGAGCCAGAATTCGATTCGGATTATAAACATCAGCACATACACAAATCAAAGGTGAGTTTTTATTTTTTATTGGCATTTAAAAATATGTAAATATGTAAAATACAATAATATAAAATAATTTTAAATAGATAAGTGTATAAAAATATGTACATTTGTATGTATGTACAGAAAAATACAATACAAAAAAGTATTTTCTAAAAAAAAAATTCTACTAATTAATGTACGGCTGGATCGAAAGCGCCTACAGCAGGCGCACGATCACCGCCGGTAAATAAATGCGTTTTGAAAATGCGTCAACACACGGGACTCTCTCTAGCGCCGCTAAGTATCGTATATGTATGTATGCATATATGTATGTATGAACAACCTGCTGACTAGTGCGTTCTGCCTTATGCACGCGTCAGCGCAATCAAAAATTGCCACAACCACCCACACTCAGTCCCTTGAGCGTATTATCCATATCCTCCTTAACATCCTTCCATGCAAACACTATCGCACCCTGGAATGGTTCCGTATCACAAGCGCTACATAGCGCCATCACGGCTTTCACCTCCTCCTCGGCCGGTTCGCGATCGTGCTCGTGCACCTCCTCTTCGATATTCATTTTCAGTGTTAAATCGTGTTTGAACTGTTGCCCACCGAACTCCGCCAAGCCGTCATACTTGAAACTACTACCGAACAACGGATCGTCCACAACGCTGCCGTCCTCCAGCAAAACCAAACCACGTTTCTGCAGGTTCTTCTGCGCCGGACGTGTGCGTACAGCATTGACGGCGCGCTTACGCAACACTTTCTCGCCGCCAAATGACGCACTCGTGTTATTGCTCTCAGCCTGACGCTTGAAGATAATGCGTGTCTCAGTCTCATCAATAAACTGCACATTGGCTGGATTATTTAGTGTGCTGTATTCGCGTGTTGTAGAGCTGGTTTGCACAGTTTTCGGTTGTTGCAACGACGACGACACCACGCCACTAGGCGGCTGACCGATGTGACCGAGCAGCTGTTGTGTGACCAGACGAGAGCCGGCATTGATTTGGCCGTTGACAAAATTGGTATTGATTGTGACGGCTTGCTGTTGATCGGAGAGCGGGAAAATCGTGTTATCAGCGCCCAATGCTGCTTGTAGCTGTGGCTGCGCCGCCGGAATGACTTGCTGTGGCTGAGCAAGTAATTTCTGTTGTGGCGGTTGTGCGAGATTGATACGCACGCGACTAGGTATTTGACCGCTTGCCAACAGACTATGCATCGGCAAGGGACGGTTTATCTAAAGGTGGAATGCAAATAAAAAAAAGAAATTCAAATCAAATACAAATTCTTTGCGCAGCACCGCTTAAAAACAAAGTGTACTCACCGCAGGTGGCGCTCTCGTCGTCGTTACCAACTCCTTACCCTCGAAATCGAAATGATGCGCATGATGATGCTTATGATCACGATGCGCCTTGCCCGCGCTCAATGCAATGTGATATATCTGCACCAAGGTGATCTCGAAATGTAGGCCTTGCGATAAGGCGCCCGTCGACGATGGGCCGCCCGAGTAGAGTTTGCCCTTTGCAGGCACTGTATGGCCAACCAGCTAAAGGAAAGTGAAAAGATAAAGATTTATGAACGGAAAAACCGGAAACGCACACGCCTCGTGCAGACGGTAAACAAACAAAACACGGTTAAGTGCGGCGCACACACTCGGCTCGGCTGCCAGCAGACGCGCAACGTCTACCTGTTGCATTGCATAAAGCACTCACCGCATTATTAAAGCCACGTCCAATACGCTCCGACTTCACCCAGACCTGCCATTCACCTGTCTTGCCATTCCATGATGTACAATGATGATGCCATTGGCGCACACGCAACGGATAATTGAGTCTGTAATGGCAGATATGACGCAAACGCGATGGCAAAACGAGTCAAATCAAAGGAATTTCATAACTTCGCGTGAGTGCATATGACAATATGAGATTTTACTATATACATACATACATACATACATACATACAAATGTACCTATGTATGTATATATGTATGCAACAAACCAAATGTAACAATGAAACCTTACTTACCTATAAATCTGTTGGCCTTTTATGGCCATCGAAGTGAAACTGGAATTTTTTGAGTTCGAAACCCAAAACTGAAATTCACGCGGTTCATCCTTAACTGGCATTTGCGGATTAGCGTCGTCGGTCAGTTGGTCAGTGGTGCACACATGCGACAGCAAACGGCGGCCAAATGCATAGTGAAAAGCATAAAAACAAAAATGAAAAAGGAAAATACGAGAGCACATGAATATATTGGCAACGACAGCCATTAAAATGTGACAACAAAAATATATTTTTATGCTACAAAAAGTCGGTCAAACATGCCCGCCCGCCTTATAAGGACAATTTCGAGGAATGGGAAAATAAGTAAGAGCAGAGACAATCGCAAGCAACCGACCTACACGGCATGGGCAACAAAAACATTTTTTCAAAGCTGCTCGCTTATGTGTAGAAAAAAATTAACCGTTATTTCATATGGAATGGCAAACAATTAATTTAGAGTTTCAAACAAAAATTCTTAAACAACGGTAATTAAGCGCTTGTTATCATCAATTGTGCACTGAGACTTTCAACATACTTTTCGTGCAGCTTTTAAAAGCTTTTACGTGCTTCTCAATTAGCTGTTGTCATTAAAACTCAAATATGCAGCCGAAAAGTTGTGTTCTTTTGCACATAACCTACAAAAAAAAAAAAAAAAAATGTCACGTTGCTTAACGTAATACCGGCGCGAATAACACCAAAAATAAGCTCATTAAATTGTTAAAAGTGATTTAAGTTAAACTCACCAAAAAAGTGCGCCGCTGAAAAAGTGCAATACTGAAATTGTGCAATTTCAACATTTTGCAGAATTTTGGAAACATTTCATTTAATTAATTTGGTATAACAAAATGTTTTCAACGGAAATCGAGTGCAAATAACGATTCTACTTTAATTGCTCCGAGATCGCCTTAAATTTGCCTATTCAGCACTGAATGTTGTCTATTGTGAATGAATGATGAGCAAGAAGCAGCATGTGTAGACAACTGTCAAATAAATTATTCTGAAGTGGTATAAAAATTCATGTCAAAAATTGAGGAAAAGCGTTGCTGAAAGTTCAAACAAAAGTAACGAACGCAATAGAAGAAACAGACTCTGTTCAAAATATGCTCGGGAAGAATATTTGTGTTCTGGTTGCGGAGAAAAATTTCCACTCACTCAATGAAATCGGTGTCAGCGCAGCAGACAAGGCTATGCAATTAAATTGAAAAAGTAAAAGCGATACGACAATTTTCCGAGTGTTCTTTTTAAAGTTACTTCCAAAATGTGGTTACTACATATATTCAACGGCTATTAACGGCTCTAACAACGTGGTCAAAAGTTAGACTAGGTTATGCCGGCTGGTAGCCATGCTATAAATAGACCTGCTTGTCCTTGGTAATGCCAGATGGAGCTACAGTTATGTTTGAGTTAAAGTAGCCATCGCGTAGGACGTTTAATAAAGCCTTGATATATAATTTTGATACTTCAACTAGCCATTGGAACTGCTCCGAAGAAGCAGAGGAGATGTTCCATTATCCTACTCATGTCTTGTTCACTGCACTTCCTGTTGACCTAGAAGGGTGACAGCCCTCTTGTGCGTAGTACCGGCTATCGTGAGAGTTGTTGTGTCATTGTTACTGATGTCCATTCGGCTCGTGAGTGTTGCCTGTAACTTGTGACCTTTCCAATCAGCCAACAATCCCAGGGCAGTCCGCTTGAGCAAAAAATAAAATTTTTGTTTCTTTTCCTTCGCTGCTTCTGCAAATGATCTAAGCGAACGTGCATGTTGTCAATCGTTGAGGCCTACCATCTCACTCTGTTCCGTTTGTCAGTATTTTGGGAAATTTTAACGTCACAAATCATATTTCCTGTACTGGTTCGGCGTCCCAAGACGCATGGCACTTTTGACAATCCCTTCAACTAATTCGTTTCGTGGGATGCCCTTGTTGTTGGATAACCAATATATGTATGTATATGCATCTGTTTCTGGGAACATTCTCTAACGCAATACGCTGTAAGGATAATTGCAGCTTATCCTTGCTTTCTGTTTCTCAAATCAACTTCAATTTAATATTAAGAGGGTTGCCTGAGGTGCTTTATGGGGCATGAATGAGCTGGTTTCCAAAAAAAAACAACTGTGGGAGAGATTCAGAGGGGACTATGTCAAGGTTTTGCTCTCCTCTCAATATAAACTAGAAGACTCCGTACCCAACCACTGGAACTAATGAATATGGCATGCTCGCTTTTCTGTATCAAAACCTACTTACTACTGAGTGCTTTAAATAATTAAGTAAATCCCCTCTCCTTTTCCCCATGCAATTTTATAGCAGCTGATGAAGAAATCTGTAGCTTTTTAATGTAAGAGGCAAGTGTAATCGCGACCTTCCGCAATCGGTTTCGGTTTCAGGGCTGTTACTGGTTCTCGGTTACCGCGGGTCTGCTGGATTTTTCGATTATCCCTCAGACGCGCACCTCGGTCGGTTGAGCGTGAGGTGGGTAACGCTGAGTTCGTCGTTAAAACGAGAAAAGAGTCGGTGGCGTAGTTTACTCTAGGCAGTTTGGTATAAGAAAATCCTTTCGTTTACCGTATCACTTCGGCTGCACGTAAGTCCTTCATTTTTCTCAGTTCAATGGTACTCTAAGGAAATTATATCCATTTCTTAAGGAATAGCCAGGTCACAATAAGAGCTATGGAATGAATAACAATAATAAAATCGGTCACAGTAGAGAAGCATTTCGCTCTGAATCAATTATAGTTGCCAGAAGAGCTTGGAAGAAAGGTCATTTCCCTATCATGGAAAAGCTTTGGCATGCCGCTCTCCATTTGTAAGCGCAGTATAAGAGACTCATTGATCAAAGATGCCAACTGTAGATGGAAAAGTCTCAAAGGTTGCTCTGTGACCACTGTATTTGTGGCCAGCTGGGATAAAAGAAAATCGTACTTAAAAGAATGGAGATATCTACAATTGTGGGCCTTCTTACAGATAATCTTATAATGAACAGGCACGCAGAGAGGTGGGACGTAGCATCAAACGTATTACTTTGCGAGTGTCTCGAACTTTGAAGCAGTAGGTTGAAGTATTTTGCACTCGTTTAGAGCCAAACGTACTGTGGCACTAAACGAGTGCAAAAGAACATGGCAAATCGTAGAACACTACATCCGGAAATGACCAATTAAGTTTAGCAAAGCGCTTAAACAGTCATATTATCAAAATATGTAGGTATGTATGTATGCATAGCAGTCACAAGATATTGAAAGTCTTCAGCGAGGGCGTTGTTGGCAATGCGCACGCGTACAACCTATACATATAAGTTGGTGGCGCCCGCTAGAGATATTTACATATATACATACATATGTTAATATTAATTATTTGCAAACAATGACTCGATTCAGCAGAGGATTTTCCCAACACCACGAGCATTTGTATGCAAAAGTGGCAACAAACCGCGTTTGAATTCATTGCCAAGCCACAAGAGCTCGGCAGCTTCCAATAGCAACTAAAACCAAAACGGAAATATAAAGCGCAAGAAATATCTATATGTACATATGTTTGTCTCCCGTTGCAGTCAATGACTAGATGCGATTTATTACAGTTACGGATGTACTTGCATACATATTAATAGCGCGACAAGCGACTATTGACAAAGTAAAAATGAAAAAAAGAAAATTAAATAAATAAATAAAATAAAATAAAAAAATGAAAACAACGTAAAAAGGAAGAAATAAAATTAAAAATATTAAATAAAATTTTAATTAAATTAAAATAAAATAAAATTGAAATAAAATAAAACAAAATGGATGAAAAAAAAGAAAATAGAAGAAACAATTAAATATATTAAGTACAATATTAATTAAATTAACTAAAATAAAAAAATTAAATATTGTAAATTTAATCGATTGAAATAAAATAAATAACAAAATAAAATAAAATGAATGAAAATAACATAAAATGGAAGGAAAAATAAATAAAATATGAGAGAAAATCAAATAAATGAAAATTAAAAAATAATTAAATTAAAATAATATTAAATTAATTAAAATTAAGAAAAATTAACATATGACAAAAAATAGAATTGAATGAAAAAAATATGATAAAATGATAAACTAAATTAAGAATAAACAGAATGAAACAAAAAAATTAAATTAAATTAAATAAACAACTGAATAAAATTAAATAAAAAATATTGGTAAATAAAATGTTTTAAACAACGTGAAAAAAATACAACAAAAAATGAGTTCAAATGAAAAAATCTAATTAAAATAAATACAAAAAATTAAAAACAAATTGAGTTAAAATGAAAAAAAGAATATTAAAATAAATAACAATCAAAATAAATTAAATACAAAAAAAATTTAAATCAAATCAATAAAATAAAAAATTATAATATAAATAAAAATAAAATTAAAATTAATTAAAAAATAGAATAAATATAAATTAAAATGGCACTAAAATTAAATGTAACAAAATAAAATGAAATAATAAAAAAAAACTGAAGAAACAACAAAATAAATAAATAAAAGGTTAAAATAAAATACATTAAAATAAACAAATCTATATGTGTATATGTGTATACATAAAAGACTTTGTTCTGAATGACTGTGGCAACAACCTACAGCAATCTTAGCCACTGATCGCCGAGACCTGAAATGTGGAAAGTGTAATCCGGGTATGAGACAGACAACTGTTGAGAAAAGATTTTCCGAAAAAAGGACCTAAAGCGATCTATTGGAAAATGCGAATTTATTTTGAAATCATTTGATTTACATATTGACTATGTAAGCTTAAACTATCATTAGGAACACTTTTTACACCGGAGTTATCGTATATGCAAACATATATAACTTTGTTCTCCCAGATTTGAGCCTGGGACTGAGTTGTTCGAAAAAATTGTCATTTTAAAATAAAATTAAATAAATTATTTGGCTCGTTGCCTGGGTTAATTCCTGCAAACTTTTCTTTCTAGAAATATAAACTAGAAAATTTAATAAATAAAAATTTAATTATATTAAATAAAATAAAATTTCATTTATAATTTTAAAAAGGAATAAAAATAATTAAATTCAATTAAATGAGTTAAAATAAAATAAAATGCAAAAAAAAATAAAAATACATAAGATAAAATGTAAAAGAAATAAAAATAATAATTAAAATAAAATAAAGTGCAAAAAATAAAATAAAAAGTAAATAAAATAAAATGTAAAAAAAATAAAATAAAATGCAAAAAAAAAAAAATTACAAATAAATAAAATAAAATGCAAAAAAAAATTAAAAATAAATAAAATAAAATGCAAAAAAAAAAAATTAAAAATAAATAAAATAAAATGCAAAAAAAAAATTAAAAATAAATAAAATAAAATGTTTAATAAACTAAAAATAAGTAAACAAAAAAACTATTATAACACAAATCACAGCAAAATAAAATAAAATTATGTAAAACAAGTAAATAAATAATAGTACTAAATAAATTTAAAAGCAAAATTACACAAAAACTTGCCGCCCGCCGGCGTTCATTTGCCGACAAGAAAATGTCGTTGTCGCGTCGCAGTCTGTGTGCGCGCTACCAGACGCTTTCGGCCATGCGAAAAGGTCATGGCAGTAACCGACAGTGGACCGCGGTCAGCAGATCTGCAATAATTAGCACGTACTTAGAGCATAAATGCCGCTTGGTATGACTGGCAATTGTTTGAAAAAAAAAAAACAAAAAAAACGAGACGCAAAAATAATTTCACTTTCATGAACGCCATGTTACAGTTATAATTATAGTCATTGCTTTCCTTGCATTTTTTTTTTCTGTTTCCTTTATTACCGGCCATCGTGTGGCATTTAATTGTGTCAAATGCTAAAACCTGTAACTTGAATTATGCAACTTTTGCATTTAAGTACATACATACATACATATGTACGCGAGCAAAATATGTGGTATGTAAACCTAGTTTTGTGGCAGCGCAGACGCCGCGTGACGTGCGTTATTAGCCACTGAGTTGCTAAGTTGAGCAGCATCATGGCTTTAATGGTGCTACTCCTCGTGCCTACATACATACATACATACAAACATAGAAATGTATGCAGCGATGTATGTATGTAGACAGCACTGCGGCAGCTCTGGTACTATAACAGTTGTTGTACATTTGTACTTCATTTAATGTGCTGATGGCCGCGTAGACAGCAGGAAGTTGGCTTCCTTTCACTTTTTTACTTAAACTCTCACAATAACGGTTACATTACATCACTCTTTCTTCTACTAAGCGCGCGTTAGTCCAACTCGCTGTGTTATTTGTAAAGAGTCATTGTTTCCCTTTAAATAGACTTTACATGCAAATTTCACGCAGCCGCTTTGGGTGGAGCATCGCTGTGCCGTGCTTAATGTATGTGGTTCCCAGACGCATAAAAAAAAACAACAACAAAAATGTAAAATCTGTAACAAACAACGCATGACTCGTAAACGCACTCTATTTGGGTGGAGTCTCGTGGTCGCGTGGATGCTGCGTGTGCTGTGCTGGTCATATGTGGCCGCAGACAAACCTGTATCCGCAACGAAATGGTGTCACGACACCACACCCAACACGCGCTCCAACTAAATAAACTTGTAATTGTAACGCAATTAAGATTAGAAAGGTCCAAATTTGTTGGGAAAAAATTTGAAAAAATTTCAAAAATGTGGGCAATCAAATGAAAATGGCACAAAAATTTCAAATTTGCATATCATTAAGGCGCAATTAAGCTAATTAAAATACATACAAACATACAATACATATGTATGTATGTATGTACATACAAACACTTACCCGCATAGGTCAGCAGCACGTGATCGCCACTGTGATTAGTGTAACGCGACCAAAAACAAATTGTGAATTGATTCAAAGCAGGCAAATCATTTTCATATGTAACGATACCATCATGATTGAAAGCGAATTTCTTCACAGCGCAATGATCCTAAATTGGGCAAAAAGAGTGCTATTAGATATCTTATGTTAGATACATATGTACATATGTACATATGTGCGTGTTGATTTAAAATGCATAAAAGCGCGCTGTGTGAAATTCCCCTCCCCTACCCACCTCCCTATAATCACCGCCGCCAAAGAGATCACGTTCATACTCAAACTCATCACTTTCGAATTTAAGACCAGCATGTGACGTCAGTGGCGCTGCAATTGCCACGGCATCGCCAACACCACTGAGTACCTTACTCGCCGCCTCCTGTGGCAATAAGGGCGATGTGGAGTATTCAGCACTTTCAGCTGAACTGCCGCCACTGCTACCGCTGCTGCTGCTGCTGCTGCCGCCGAGTGTTAGTGATTTCGCGCTAGTCGCGGAACCCGGATGTGATTGTTGTAGATTGAAGGTAGTGGTAAACGCACCGCCTACTATGGGTTTCCAAGCGTAACTTGGCGTTAAGTAACTACACAATAGAAGTGCAGTCGCAAGGACATAGACGCGTCGCCACAAAGTCAACAGCATTTTTATATGTTCAAAAAAAAATATATCTTTTTTTTAATATTTCTATATTTCAAGCTACTTTATGCTACGCACAAATCAATGTCTGTATGTATGTACGCATGAAAAACACTTTCGCTCTCTTTTGCGACACCGTTGTTACTCTTCCCGTTTTTCCTATTTCACTTTTTTCTTTTTATTTTATTATTTTTATTTTTATTTTATTTTTTTTGCTGCTGCAAATTCACTTTCGTTTCGATTCGTACAGCGAAAATTCGCAATCAAAACTCTTCTTGCGCGCGTTTCTAAACACCGTTTGCCAGTTGTCTACGCGTACTTAGTTTGACGCACGTCTGCACGCGACGATGCCTCGTACTTTATTGGCAGTCAATCGTTGCGGTCGTTCATATGCAAGCAACATTGGCTGTGTTGTGCGACGCGCGCGCCAACAAACTTGTTTGCGCGCCAATATGCGTCGTGCGCGCTTCACCTCTGCGCTGCTGCTGTGTGTATCGTGTAGCGCCGCGCAGCTTTTGCATGACTCGTACGTATCAGTGATCTAACGCAGCGAAAATTACCGTTAGTAATTTTCAATTTTCATTCATACATCGTCGTGCCATCCATCTCAAACGCATTAAATACGTCAGAGCCGCGTCGAGCGTTCGTACACTCGTGTGTTAATTGCCGACGGACAGCGCAATGTGGATGGCACCTGTCTGCCGATTGATTGTTTACACTTTTTATGCACTTCCAAGTGAAACAAAGAAATAAAATTAAATACATAAATAAAAAATAAAGAAATTAACATTTGGCAGTGCAGCAAATCACTGGAGATCGAACAAAAGACGGAAATTAACTTTTGGTATGCTTTTAAGTAGACATAGACACCAGCGAAGTTGCGAGAATTGTTAGCGAAAATGAAGAAGAAGCAGCTGCAGTAGCAGCAGGGTTGCATGACATGCCATTTAAATTACTCTGACACTAATTCTTCGAAATTTTATTACACCATGTAATTGCGCTATGTTTGTATGTATGTATGTATGAATGCATGTATGTAAATGTATTTATTTATATGCGAGTATTTTCACAAATCAACAGACAGTTGTTTGAAAAAAAAAAGATAAAAATTTATACATATATACAAAAAAAAAAAATAATAAAAAGTAAAAAAAAAAAATTGAAAATTAAATAAAATTGAAAAAATTGCCTGAAAGTGAAATTGCATTGGAAATGCAAGTCGTATGTACGTAATATTATTATGCTCAACTGACAACTGCCAATCTGTTGTCGTTTAAGCACATTTTTGCGCGCCAAAATAATTTACGTGATCGATAAGTTCAACAGTGGCTTGTCAGAAATTGATGTATATGTATTCATACATACATACAAACATAAATGCATATATACATATGTACATATATACATACAAATTTGAGCATAAAAAAATATTGCACATAAATTTGTATGTACATGCATTCATATACAAATATTTCGCATACTTTGGTAAATACATACATACATACATATAATAAATTGCACATCTAATGCCATAGATTTCTATTTTGGTCGTTAACACAAATTATTCTCACGTTTAATCCCAGCTAATCGTCGGTAGGTACATACATACATGCATACATATGTATCAACTGAAGTGCTGGCGTTAGTGCCATTATCCATCCGATTTGAATATACATTTACGAGTATAATACATACATAAGTATGTATGTATGTATGTCCATATATGTATAATCACATATAAGCACATTTAATCAACACGATTTATTATGCTGGCAAATATTTTTAATATACTTATTTGTATGTGTGTAGCTATTCATAGCCAGCTTACATGCCAATTGTACTAATTTGGAACTACTTCATAACTAGTGAACAAAGTAGTTCCAATAAAACAGCCAATCAATTTTTATTTTTTCATATAAAATAGTTGGCAACTGCCAGTTTTCGTCCAAAAAAAATTTATCTCATACTAGTTTAAAACGGACCAATATGGGACTAGTTCTATTTAGTGCAGAAGTCAACAGAATTGCTTAGAAAATGTGTTAAAAAATAAATTTATCTTCATATAAATATATCAACAACAACACATTCGACACGGACCAAAAAAGCACTAGTTAAATTTTGGACCCAAATCACTTAATTGAAGCAGCTTAATAACACTTATGACAACATAGATATTTAACATAGTTAGCTCATCAATTTCATATTGGCAATCACAAATATCTGACTGAGACGTAATCATTTCTCATTGCAGATTGGCAAACAAGCCGCACCATACTACGTGGGCACATCGCAGACCTTACCGCGCGGCATGTACTCATCGGAACGCACAAAGGTGCCAATTGGTAAATGAAATTATTCAATATATACATACATATATACGTATATAAGCAACAATTTTGTGTTTTTTAAGTGAAAAGAAAAATCGAAAGAGAATTTGCATGAAGAATTGGAAATTTGAAAACCATTTGTCAAAGTAGATGCTTGCTCTTCTTACTTTATATACGTATATGTATATAAATATATATACATTTTTTTAATGTACATCCGCATTTTTGTTTTTACACAGATTTTTTAATTTGTCATTTCATCTCGCCCATACCTTTGTATATACATATATATATGTACATGTATTTGTATGTTGTTCTCTTCATTGTCAATTCTTCACGCCCACTAACGTCTTACGCCACCATCCACCACCTATCAAACTCCATAACTGTATTATATAACTACTCTGCATACAATGCATACATACTAACATAAGTAGGAGCGCCAGTAAAGCCCTTGAGAGCGCATAACTCAAGAGGCAGCATGGAACCATTATTTCCTTATACCCCGGATCAATTATATAGCATCCCAGGTACTTTGGATTCGTTGAATTGCTCATAATTTTTTTTTACTTTATTCTGAAACTATCTACATACATATAAACATATATGTTGAGTATGTGTATAAACATATTTTACTGATTTTTATTTATTGAGATTTTTTTAACCCAAAAATTGGTTATTTTGCAACATTTGTATGAGAAATTCGTAGTAATTTTAATTTTAATTAATTAATTTGAATAAAATTTTAAATAGATTAAGTTTTAAATGAAATCAAAAATAAAATCAAACGGCTAAATTAATAAAATAAAAATAATATCAATAAAATGAAAAATAAAATAAATTAAAGAAAGGACAATGAAATAAAATACAATAAATTAATTTGAATTAAATAAAAATAAAGTATTAATAAAATGAAAAAAAAAAACAAATAAAATAAAATAAAATAAAATAAAATAAAATTAAATCAAATGATATAAAAATATTAAACTAAAAATAAAACAAAATAAAAAAATTTAAGTTAAATTAACATAATAATAAAATAAATAAAAAAAATAAATAAAGGTAAATTAAATTAATAGTAAGACAAAAATTGCTATAAATAAATAATTTGAAACTAAAATAATAACAAAAAAATATAATAAAATAAATTGCGGTGAAAAGAAAATAAAAAAATTAAATTAAATTAAATATATTAAATTAAATTAAATATATTAAATTAATTAAAATATATTAAATTAAATATATGAAATTAATTAAAATATATTAAATTAAATATAACAAAGCTAAATTAAATAAAAACCAAATAAAATAAAATGAAATAAAATAGAATAAAGTAAAATAAAATAAATTAAAAAATTTAATTGAATAAAGACAACAACTAAAATTCAATAAAAAATTAAATATAATTAAATTGAAATATTAATAAAAAAATATATAAATTAATTAAGTATAAAATAAAAAATTAATTAAAATAAATTCAAATAAATTAAAATAAAATAAAATAAAATAAAATAAAATAAAATAAATTAAGATAAAATTCAAAATAGAATAAAATTAAATATAATTCAACAAAAACAATTAAATTAAATTAAACAAAATAAAAATAAAACATTATAAATACGAAAAAAAAAACAAATTATATTAAGTACAATAAAAATAAAATATGATAAAAATTAAAAAAAAAAATTAATTATATGAAATTCAAATAAAGCCAAATAAAATAAATTAACATAAAATAAAATAATAGAATAAAATTAAATCAAATGATGAAAAATTCATTTAAACAAAATAAAAATAAAATATGATAAATATAAAATAAAATAAATTAGATCAAATTAAACTAAAAACTAAAACAAAATAAATTAAAAACCTGAAATGAATAGAAAATAAAAAAATAAAATAACATAAATTGGAATAAATTAAGATAACATAAAATAGAATAAAAACATATAATTCAAAATAAAAATAGAATAAGATAAAAATTAAATAAAAATTAAACAAAATTATAATAATAATAAAAATAAAAATAAAATAAAGTAAATAAAACTAAATAAAATATAATGAAAAATATAAAAAATACAAAATAAAATAAGGAAATATGATACGAAATTAAATTAAATAAAAATTAACTTAATTCAATATAATTAAGTTATGGAAAAAGTTAAATTAAATTACAACAGAAACCAAACATGATAAAATATTAATTTTAATGAAGTAAAAAAAAAAAATATTTAAAAATAATTTTAGTAAAACAATTTTAGTAAATAAACTAAAATGATAAAAAATAAAAAGGAAGTAAATAAAAATGGAAATAAAATGCAAATAAATAAAAACTAAATTAATTAAAAAAAATAAAATATAAATAAATTAAAATAATTCTCCTCGATGAAATAATTTTTTATATCTTTATGTACAAAAAAAAAATAAAAACATTTATGTGTGTATACCAAATCATATGACCTTCCCTCGTTTCAAAAAATTTATTTTACGAACAAAAAAAATCTGTTTGTTGTGATTTCTTTTTTGTTTGTTGCTAAAAATTTAAATTCTCTTCAAACACTTTTAGATGGTTATTCCAGTTCACCGGAGCGCAGCACACGTGGAAACTATGAAGAGCCTTACTATAGTCAATATGGCACCAGAGGAACTGTTGTTGCACCAATTATTGACGAGGAGCAGGGGTTGGTACAAAAACAAAAAAAAAACAGAGGAAAGAGGTATTTATTCTTTTATTCCATTTTAGTGATGTGGGTCTAACTGAGGATCAATATGCAGTATATGGCATGAAAATGGGTCCAGGCCGATTACCGAGACCAAATCAAATGTACGATTCAGCAAGGTGAGTCATTTTATCTATCGACTTTAACGACTAGTTTCTGTTAATTTTCACGTAAAGATTTAGGACATTTCTTTCTAGACTTTCTTTCTTTGACCAGCTTCTCAAGTTCTTACTACTTGCGCTTTCGGTCTCTCTCTCTCTCCCTCTCTCCTGATTCCCTCATCATATTTTTTCACATGGGACGCCTAGATTACTAGAAAATCAATAGTTAATTTTTTATGGGCGGCTCCAAGCTCTCTTGGAATGGCGTCTCAGCTCAGCTTCATAAAATAATAAATACTTTTTTTTATAAATAAAAAATGTTGGTTGAAAATATTTATTAAAAATATTTTTTTTTTTTTTGAAATTTCGCTAATAATAAGCCATGTAGGCGTGGTTTTCAACCTCATAAGAGCGCACACGTTGAATTTCTGTCCTTGGCCGCACTCTTCTGCGGCTGCGGCGATAAATTTTTATTCTCTTTACGACGCCATTGGTTTCAGTCGCCGCAGTACTTGCCACCGGATGCAAATAAGTTGTGCCTATAATTGTATTTATTATTTTTTATTTATGAGTAATATGTAAATATGTAAAAATATCAGCTGTGGAATTCGCCTACCTTTGCTCTTGATTGCCTGTACAATGAGGCAAAGCAGATAACCGCCGAAGGAGAGAAAAGCCAGAGAGGTTATGGTGATATGAAAGAGAGTTTGCAACTTTGAAGGTTTCTCCTCCGGCTGCCATGGATGATGTTCGTAGCCACTACAGAGGAAGTAAAAAATAAATTTGAGACCATAAGGCAGTTTTCCATTACCATAAGCACATCTTACCGCTTCTTAGCTGTCAAAGGTAACGCCTGTGGACTCGCACAAGTGGCATTCTCACTTTTTCTAGAAACATCACACACACTGGCATCCCCCGCAGTGCTATTAACTTTACCGCTATTCCCTTTAAGATCCTCATTTTCATTTGGTTCCGGCAATCTGTCCAGCGAGCGCTGAAGACGCAACAACTCCGACATATTCAGTTCCAAAAGACAATCAGTCAACATTTCCTTTTCCAACATATCTAGAGATTTGTCCATGGCAATTGACGCGCGTGTTGTCAACGTTAGTATTAAATATGTCGTTAAGAACACTTTTACGCGCGAATAAAACATTTTGCAGCACCACAAGCCAGAAGGCACAATTCGAGACTGTCTATTGGCGGTTGGCACGAAAGTTGCCGGCAAGTGGTTTCAGTGTCACGGTCGGGCGCCAACAGTTTTCGGTGGCATGAAAATGTGGCGCTTCTGCTTAGTGACTGTCGCGAAAATGTTAGGAAGTGAACGTTGTAACGTTGTCTGACACCGTTAAAAAATGAACTTGTCAAGAAATTTATTTCGCTGCTAAACAGAGTGGAAAGCCCGAAAAGTAAGCACAGTGAGAGAATTAAGTGTGTTTATAATTATGGGGTAGGCTAAGTTCTGATGGGACCGAAGACTAGATTGCTGGTNTATTTTATTTTATTTTATTTTATTTTATTTTATTTTATTTTATTTTATTTTATTTTATTTTATTTTATTTTATTTTATTTTATTTTATTTTATTTTATTTTATTTTATTTTATTTTATTTTATTTTATTTTATTTTATTTTATTTTATTTTATTTTATTTTATTTTATTTTATTTTATTTTATTTTATTTTATTTTATTTTATTTTATTTTATTTTATTTTATTTTATTTTATTTTATTTTATTTTATTTTATTTTATTTTATTTTATTTTATTTTATTTTATTTTATTTTATTTTATTTTATTTTATTTTATTTTATTTTATTTTATTTTATTTTATTTTATTTTATTTTATTTTATTTTATTTTATTTTATTTTATTTTATTTTATTTTATTTTATTTTATTTTATTTTATTTTATTTTATTTTATTTTATTTTATTTTATTTTATTTTATTTTATTTTATTTTATTTTATTTTATTTTATTTTATTTTATTTTATTTTATTTTATTTTATTTTATTTTATTTTATTTTATTTTATTTTATTTTATTTTATTTTATTTTATTTTATTTTATTTTATTTTATTTTATTTCATTTCATTTCATGTAATATTGTTTATTTTAATTTAATTTTTTTTAATTAATTCTATTTTATTTTATTTAAATTTATTTTCTTACATGATTTTATTTTTTTTTAATACTATTTTATTCTATTAATTAAAAAAAATATGGTTCATAATTATATACATATGTAGCTAAAATTATTGTATATATTATATACTCATATATGTACATACGTATAAATTTTAACATATACAAATTCTAATTACAATTAGACCTGAGGACTTGCATCGCATACGCGTCGAACACATGGAACGTCAATTGGCCAATTTGACTGGACTGGTGCAGAAGGCGCTTGTGAATCAGCAGCCACAAATTGCATCGATTCCCGTGCCTACACTGGATCAAAATTATTTGGTTGTACCTACGCAGTGTCAAGGTATGTACTGACATACATGTATATATATATATATACATATATATAAACTCGATTTATGCTTATGTTTGTATGTCGATTTTTCATTGTTTGTCTGTCAAAATTTTGCATATAATCATACATCCACACAAACATACATGCATACATATATATAATATCAATGCAAGCCACATTGTATTGCGTTAACCCAATTACCAATCCAACGTTACAAACGCACGCACTTGCAACTGCCAAATTCATTGAATTCATTAAACATTAACAACAAAAAAACCTTCACCAGCACACCCCTCACAGTTCACCAGCATTATCATCTCCATCAGCAAAAGCCTCATTTAACCGTCTTTTTTTTTTTGTATTTTTGTATACAAAATAGAAGAAGTAGAAAAAATGGAATGATATCAAAACTGAAATTGGCCACACGAAAGCTCTTTTCTCATGCAAATTTTTATGTAATTTTAATTGTAAAAAATCTCAATCTAAAAATAATCATTTTGAAGAGGAAAAAAAGTTTCTTTACAAAAGAATTTATGGCTACTTATTGCGCGCGCGCAGCGAAAGGTAAACAAGCATAATGGATATAATTCGTATGCACACTTCTACATACATACATTTGTGTATATCTACATACATGTCAAACTAAAATAAAAAGTTGCTTTTCAAATCTCTATTGAAGGCAATTTTTAACATAAATGACAGCGCATAACTCCGTACAATGAAGAGATGAATGGTAAACAATTGATTATCTAACGGCACTTCGACATTTTTCTTAATGAAACTATCAAATCACTACACGATTTAAAAATTTGTTAATTTTTTTCTTTTTTGTGAATTCATATTATGACTTTTTTAAAAGGAAAGAAAAAAATATGACCTTGGCATATAAAATCTTAAAAAATTAACTCAAAAAAAAAACACTCGTACATACAAATGCATACACAATCTCATATGAACTTCGCTTTCTCACTCATTTCTCAATCGAAACTACACACAAAATCTACAATAATTAATTACGTTGCGCTCCCACATCTTTATATTTGTATCTTTCTATGTTAAATATCAAAGTTAAGCCTTCAAAAACAATACAATTCTATGTAGCATATCTCGTATAATACGTCTTACATATACATTTATATATATATATTTTTCAAACAATCATTTCATGCATTGTAGCTAACGGGTCGGGCAATGATTTGTATGTAAGGGAAAAGGCACCGAAGTTAGGGAAGAGCTCATGTCGTAAGTCTCACCCAAAAGTAGTTACTAATTAAACCTAATATACATATATCATGCATGCTTAACCTACATACATATTTACATACAAAAATATCCATTTGCCATTGAGACTTTTTTACTTAACCAATTTTGGCTTTCAACAACATTTTTCTCTACTAAAGAAATGAAATAAAAAAATATTTAAAAAGATTAAGTAAAGTCAAATAAAATAAAATAAATTAAAATAAATTAAGAAAAAAAATAAAATCAAAAGAAATGAAACCAAAGATAATGAAATTGAAATAAAATAATATTAAAAAATAAAACCATATCAAGTAAATTAATTTAAAATAATAACAAAGAAAATAAAATTGTTAAAACAAAAAAATAAAAAAATTCATTAAAATTAAACAAAATAGAGTAAAATGAAATAAATAAAAATGGAGTAGACTAAAAACAAAATAAAATAAAATGAAATAAAATAAATTAATATAAAATAAAGAAAGAAATAAAACAAAATTAAATTAAATTAAAATAATATAAAATAAAAAATAAAATAATGTAAAGTAAATTAATAAATATAAATAAAATGAAGTTAAATAAATTATGATTATAAAATAAAAGAAAAAAATAATATAATAATGCGAAGTAAAATAAAGTAAATTAAAAAATAAAAATAAAATGAAGTCAGATAAAATATGATTATAAAATAAAAGAAAAAATAAAATAAAATCAGTTAAAATAAAATAAAATAACATAGAGCAGCACAAAATAAAATAGAACAAATCAAATAATATGATATAAAATTAAATTAAATAAAATTAAATGAAATAGAGAAAGAAAAAAATTAATTATATTAAAATTAAATATTAATTATAATATAAAGTAAAATAAAACTAAAAAAATAAAACAAAGTGGAGTTAAATAAATTTAGAAAATAAGTAAGTCAATTAAATTAAAATAATATCAAAAAATAGAAATAAAATAAAATAACACAAATTATAATAAAAAAAAAAACAAAATCAAATAATATAAAGTAAAATAAAATAAAATTAACTATATTAAAGTAAAATGAACTAAAATAAAATAAAATATAATAAAATAAAATAAAATAAAATAAAATAAAATGTTATAAAGTTAAATTAAAATAAAATTAATCAAAATTGAGTAAACTAAAACAAAATAAAATGTCATAAAGTTAAATTAAAATAAAATAGTTTAAAAATAAATATAAAGTATTACATAATAAAATTAAATAATATTAAATACATTAAAATAAAATAAAACAAAATCAAATAATATAAAATAAAGTGAAAAAATAATATGAAATAAAATAATAATAAATAAAAAAAAATTAATTTAATTAAATAAAATGTAATAAAATAATATAAGACGAAATAAAATAAATTAAAAAAATATGTATTAAAATAAAAAGAAATTAAATAAAGTAAACTAAAATAAAATAATTTAAAAAAAATTAATTAATTTAAATTCAAATATATTTTGTATAAGTTAATTTGTGAAAAAAATAATAATATTCTATACTAATGCATAAGTCAGGTGAACTGATATTTTTACAATAATTATGCATGCGAAATCATTTAAAAATATTGCGTTGAAACCGGTATTAGTTACAAAATTTGAAGAATTGCCTGTAAATACACAGTCAAATAAAGTAAGCATTATTAATTTTTTTAAAATAATTCAAAATTTTTCCCCTTTTACAAAGAAATTTTCAATAATTTTTCAAGAAAGAACTTCGTTAAATATTGTTTCATTCTTCATAAATATGCACAAAAAGGTTTTCAAAATTTTCAAAAAATATTTTTTGAAAATAATAAAAATCTTTTGTATTTAATATTTAAGTCATTTTGAAATTTTAATTTTAAATTTTCCATTAAAAATTTTGGTTAGCATAAAGTTACATTTTTTAAAAAGAAATTCAATTTTCATAAAAAATTTTTAATTCCAGCAATTTTTTGTTGTAAAAAAACTTAAGAATAATATTTTTCAATGCATATTTAATCTGTATTATATAAAAGAAAGTAAATACTTCATACAAATAGATTGTTTTTACAAAGTTATCTTAAAATTTTTTTTATTTAAAAAATTAAATACTTCATATTTTAAAAATAATTTTTAAAAAATTCCAAAATTTAAATTTTTAACATTAATTATTTATTATTATTTATTTTTCGTACAGAAATTTCATTTTTTTTTAATTAAAATTAAATGCTAAAGTTTTAACAAAAAAATTTAAAAAAAAATTCTTAATTTTTGTATTTTTCTTTAATAATAATTAATTAGTAATTATTTACTAAAATTTATTTTTTAACGTGAAAAAATTTATATTTCACATTTTAGAAAATATTTCTGAATTTGTTTTCATATCAAAAATAAAGGAGTACTTAATAAAAGTTATGGTTTTCGAAAGGTCCACTTTTAGCATCTTTTTCGATCTTTTTAAATTGGTTAATTATTGGTTAAAATATTTTACATTTTACAAAAACATTTTGAAATTAAATTTTTCTGCTTGCGACCACCCCTCGGTTGGGAATGTCTTGCCCTCTGGGTGTATTTCTGACACGAAATTCAAAAGTTGCTCATAAAAAAGCCATCAGCCATGCAGAGGCGGTTTAGTATAAACTGTAGGTCCCTCCATTTGTTGGCAGAATATCAAGATGGAAAAATATCGACCGAAAATCGCTTTAGCGGTCGCAAAGTGTCAATTATTTAATTAAAAAATTATCAGTAATGTTTACTGAAGGTTATGAAAAATTATACTCGGTGATCAGTGCTGCCAAAAAATTTATTTATTTTTAATATTTTTTAACCATTAATTAATGTGGACCATTTTTTGCGAAGCCTCTAGGTGACTGAGATATTTAGGCATTTGGCAATCCTTTTTGGCAAAACACGGCTAAACCGTTTTCGACGCCTCAAGAGGCGGTTCAAGCGCTCAGAACGCACGTCTGGCAGATACCACTCAATCGGAGTGGCAAAAGTGCCTCGACAATTCCGATTCAAACGTCTGCAAAAGTGTGTAGATTTTAATGGAAAATATTTTGAAATACAAAAAAAAATTTTTCGTTGATTAACATTTGTTTTTCTACTCTAAACGGCAAATAAATATAAAAGGCAACCCTCATACACTTGACAAGACCCTTGATAAGTGGTCGAAGAGTTGTTGTAATCAATTTTTTTCTTTTTAATTCTTCATATACCGTAAAATTTTCCCTGCATGTTTGACAAAATGCATGACAAATAAAAAAAATAAAAAAAAAAACAATAAATATGTTTGTTCATATGTTAATATCCACTATTGTTCAATTAAATCAGCTTTTGGCAGAAATTTTTGAATTTGCATAAATTAATAGTTTTCTTATTAAATCAACAAAAATCCATATATATTTACACTCTCACTATATAATATTGCCAAATTGTGTGGCGCTCTCTCGTTTAATCTCATAACAAATTTATCTTTCAGAAAAGTCAGTGTCGTTCGAAAAGTCTGTTTCCTTTAGCGACGACATACAAGGAATACCCAAATCTCATAGTCCACAACACGCTGGTAATTTAAGCTTAAACGCTGATTGTGTTCATTTGTTTGTTGTACATCTGAGTTTAGTACATATAGTACATAGTTAAATATAATGACTGCATGTGCAATATATATACATATGTGTCTGTAAAGGGTTTTCCAATAAGAGGTGTTATTTTGAATCGTCTGCTATTCCGGTAGCTGTCACTTTTGAAGCTGTAATTTGACGAGTAAAAATGTCGGAAACCTGGCAGAGATGGTTCCTAAAACTATAACCCTTTCTATAACCCATCTTGTCGAACCGCCATACAGTAATTGGTAGTGGAAGTGGAACTTTTGGTACAAATTAGTGATGTCAAGAATGAAAAAAAATGTTGTAGAGCATCCAGGTTTACACGTCGTTCTGCACTATGCAGCACCGATCTGGGCGTCGGGGACGAACGAGACGCAGATGAAGAAGCTACAGTCTTGCCAGAACACCGCCCTTAGGACCGCGACAGGAAACCGCCTGATGTCGCCGGAGCATCAATTGCACAGCGAAGCATCTACGCTACGAAGTTAAGGAGCATAATGCTTTGCTGTGCAAGCAGTTCCTATTGGGATGTTATCGCAGGGAGCACCCCAGTAGGCACCTAATAGAAGCTGAACCTCCACCTAGGCACATCAGAAAGGGAGTACTAGACTTAAAGGACACAATCCAGCAATATGTATAACAACCGCTGGACAGGACGGCGTACAGACAAGCAATGAACGCCATTCACCAGGAGTCAGTCAACACCTTCAAGGACTCCTTTCCAGTGAATGGCGTACTCGGAGAAAAACCACCACCTATAGTAGACAACGAACTCGTGCTGCCTCGAGAGACCCGCGTGACCCTGACACAACTTAGGTGTGGGTATTGTAGCAGGTTAAACTCCTACTTATCCAGACTAGACCCCAGCATACCCAACGTATGCCCTGCATGTGGAGAGTCTCCGCACGACACTAACCACCTCTTCACATGCCCTCTCAAACCAACTCATCTAACCCCCCTCTCCCTTTGGTCCAACCCCGTCGAAACAGCTCGTTTCCTGGACCTACCACTAGATGACCTCGGCGACTTAGACTGATCAAACCTGTGCCTAAGCGGGGTTAGCAAACCGCTACAACAACAACAACAATAACACGTGGTTCTTTGGAATTGGGCATTTCACAAGCGTTATTTTGCACATAGACTTGGGTCTAAAGACTTAAAAAGTTTAGTTGACGCAAGAGCTCAAGCCGGCCGATCATCAACAGCGTCGCGTCTTGGCTGATTGGGTTCCTGAAGTGCATGAAAATTATCTGAAATTTCATCTAAAAATCATATTGACCGATGAGGTCCATTTCCAACGCGTTGGCTACGTCAATGAGTAAAACTGTCGCATCTGGGGCCCAAGCTTTATTGTTGAAAAGCCTCTCCAACTCCACAATCGGCTCGGCAGGGGGTGCGGCGAGTTCATTGAACCTTACTTTTTCGAAAATTAGGCAGGTGTAACAATCTGGCCGAGGTTTACTTTCAACAAGACGGCGCTACGTACCACACAAGCAATGAAACCAACGTTCTTTTAACGCGAAAAATACCCGGATTTCGTTATCTCTCGAAGAGGTGATCGCAATTGGCTGCCGAGCTCTTGTGATTTAATACTTTTCGACTTTTTTTTCTTTTTTTTTTCTTTTGGGGCCATGTGAAAGATAAGGTCGACGCTAACAGGCCAACGTCGATTCAAGACCTCAAATATGGAATATGTATATGTATATAATATGGAATATAAGCAGCCAATTTGCGATGTGGTGATGGAAAATGTTATAAAAGGGATTTGTAAGCTTAGCAGATATTGGTTGCCATTATCAATGGCATATCTTTCGATCATTTATCGCAAAAAATGCACCACTTATTGGAAGACCCTGTACAAAATAGCATAATAATAATAAATAATTATGTGTAAATGATTATACATATACGTATGTGTGTAAATATAAGCAATAAACAATATTCAAAGCATGTCAATTACTCATAGAATACATACATACATACATACATACATACATACATACTATGTATGTAATACGTAAGCTGCCCCTTGAACCTTTTAGCAAAAATTAAAATTCGTTTATCCGATTTGCCACATTAGCCATACAATCAATCATACAACCAACCATATATACATACTAATGTGTGTATGTAGGTCTAACGGTATTTTTCCAACTACTGCTCCCTCGTTTCCTGCATGCATAAAGCTTTTTCTAAGCACATCTCACATACATACACACATACATGCATGTGTTAAATGTACAATATATGTACGAGTATGTCAGCCAAATGCTTTGGTGTACAAATTTTGTAATATCCTATATTCTTATTCTACAACAAAACAATACAATTTCGTCACCAAACACTTCGCTGCCGCGCGTTCTCTTTCTGCTCTCTTAACGCTTTGACGTGTCGAAATGCGTCTCAAACAGCCGATACAAAACCAACAAAACCAGCCATAAAATCATCGACTTTACCTCGTACATCTTCCCAGGGTAAGTACAAAATGCACATACATATAAGCACAAATACACATACACACATACATATACACATACACACACACACATATACATACATTCATTCACAATGTACTTGTTGTAGTAAGAAACACTCCTGAGCTTAGCTTTGTACTCACGAGATCTGCTTGAAAAGCGTCGTGAATTTTTTTGTTTTATTTTTCAAATTTTGTTTCTTTTTGTTGTTATCACTGTAGGTCCATCGAATTTACATTAAACGTTTTCTATAATTTGGCTTCTGGTTCGGTCACGAGTAAAGGAGTCGCATAATAGCAACCACCCGACTAAAGCGGCTTCCGTTTGAATTAGGACCGAATGTCGGCCGCAATAGCCGAGTGGTTAGCATTGCATACTGCCATTCTGAAGACTAGCCTTCGAGTCCCAGTTCAACCAATATCCAAAATTATAGCGAATTACTTTTTCTAATTGCGGTCACCCCTCGGCAGAGAAAGTGACAAACTCTCCGAGTGTGTTTCTGCCAAGAGATTAAAAGGTTCCTCATAAAAATTCAACGGCCGTTCGGTGGCGGCTCGGCATGAATTGTAGATCGCTTCATTTGTTGGAAAAATATTAAGACGCAAAACCACAAATTGGGGAAGAGCTCGGCCGAGACGCGCTTCACCGGTTACATATACATATATATATGTATGTATAATAGAAATTGGTGCCGCACAAATGAGATATGGAAGTAGTGCCAGTGTCATCCTTTGTTGCCTCGAGCCTCCCATAGTTGGTTTGAATCTTGCACTGACCTTGACGGTCTTCCAACTAGCGTGTTCAAGTGTTACTTGAAGCTCCGTCGGTAAACAAGTATGTAAGCCTCCGTGATATTCAATTACTGGGGTCGAGTATATGGTGTAACCATCTACTTTTTTGCAAATTGTCCTTCTATTTCCGATTAGTCAGTAAGCGAGTCACTCGAACTCCTAACTCCATTGCTGCTTTTCGAAGCCACGTTTTCGCAGACACTAAAGTTTCATTACGTTTACGAGATGCGCTAACTTCTTCGTCGATTCTGTAAATATATTCCACCCCTGAGGTATAGATAGATCCTGTTATGCTACGCTTTCTAGCTCATTAGGGTACAAAGGACCACTGGTGGCGGTGCATATCCTCTCTACGCATTACCTCATAAGGTCTGGGTAATGTGGTGATAATGTGTAGTCAGAAAAGTATTGGTAACAACCATTGAGACTCAGCTCTCTGTGCAGAGAATCTTCTGTATGACTGAAATGTATTCTTGTTAAGGCCAAAAAATAACAAACGGTATCATATGACGTCGGGAGAATATGACTTGTCATTAGATGTAGTACCACCTTACAGCGGGGGGAGTCGCTCCTAATGCCATAACATAGGATCCATTGTTCTTTTTTGCTCTATCCATCGCTTTGAGCTTTCTGTTCAGAACTAGGCCAACATAGTGCTTGATATTCCCATAAGCATCAGTCTCACCCCATTCAGTTTTTGAGATTTCCATGCAGTGAATCCATATCTGGTTGTGAAAAGCGCCATGTCTGCCTTATTTGTATTTACCCAAAAGTTGGTTAGAGTCCCCCTCGATGTATGGCTTTAAGAGTGTTCTTTATCACTTCAGTGACAGTCTGCAAAACCAATAAGCTTAGGTGCTCTAGCCGCTAACCCAGTAAGTATGGCTTCCTCTGCAACTCAGCGGTTTTCAGTCCTTCGCACCCACAGTGCTCCTAAATGAAGGCAAAAGTCCTCAATTACACTCCAGTATGCCCCTGGTCTTGGAAAGCCCGGTTTTTAGAAGCGAGACGTTGTTTTTGGTATGTTCCTCAATTTCTAAGCCCTTCAGCAACTTACCTCATTGGGAGCTAACAATTCAGCTGACTTCTTCAACAATCTTCCGGAGTACGGAGTCTTGTTCGGTGCTCGGATTATCTTCGCTCTCTGGAAAAATTCTGCTTCTAGGATAGAGGAAGCGACATTTGAGCAGTCCCGTCTCGCACCCACATGTATAGTTATAAGTGAAAGCAACTTCACATCACAAAAAAAAATACACCGTCACTTCAAAAATCACGCTTCGCCTACAGATAGCTCACATTTAGCTTTAAACATTGTCCAAAATTTCATATATATATATATATTCACCATAAATTCTTAAAAATAAAAAGATGTTTAACCTTCCATTAATTTCCTGTCCACTACCGCCCCAGCAGAGAGAGATCGCCTTAAACCGCCACCACCACCCAAACCCTTGGTCTTGGCACAAACACACCAGACCTATCGCGCTGACATTGCGCTCGCACCCGAGGTCTACAATCATTTGCGTGGTCTACAGAAGAAAGCCAAAGATCTACGTATGGAAGTGCGTACCTTGCGACGCCTCTCGCAAGCACAAGCTGTCGCCGTACGTGAGGACATCAAAGGCACCTTTATGCGTATACGCGCCACACTCTTGACTAGCAGCGGCACCTTCTGGGGTAATCATCAAGGTGATCAAGATGCCACACGAATATCACGCGAAGAAGAACTCTACAAACAGGAAGTTATAAGACTGGAGAAGGACCTAAGCGATTTGGAGGCGTCCGTGGAGACATTGCGCGGCGAGGTGATTAACAGGCGTACACGTGTCAATATGACGGCGGTGGAGGATATGGCGTTGGTGTTGAGTAGAGCGAGGTATTTTCAAAGTGGCCAGAGAGAAAAAAGAGAAAAATAAATAAAACCCTCTCTTTCTAGCAAAACTGTTGCGGAATTAAAAATGAAATTTCCCGCACTCTCCAATGGCTTGCGTTGCATGCTATCCAGCGAGATGGAGCGCGTCGTGCGCGAGGAGAAATTCCTCAAAGAAGAGCCCGACAGACTCGAGTCCGCACTGCGACGCTGCAAGAAGCTAACAGGCACTTTGGTCACATTAAAGAGGTACTAAATTACACATATGTTCTTGGCTGTGTTCGCGCCGAGCCGAGCGAAAATCGAAAATCGAAAATCCACGAACTAATAAACTCCTCTGTCCGCCTCTTACAGATTGGCAAGCGTACAAGAGCAACGATTACCCCCTAACGAACCGCAAATCAACGAAGAGACGCCACGCTCGGCTGAAATCTCGAATACAGACAAAGTAAGTGCCATTTTTTTAAGTTTTCAACTAAGAAAATAATTAAAAAAAATTAATAAATCATTTATATATAATATAATTACATACATAGTGACTTAGGTAGCATTTCCTAACAAGCAAAATAATAATTAAAAAAAAAAAAAGAATATCCAATTATATAATTGCCTACTACCATTTGACTATATTGCATTCATTATAACCGACCTCAAATTCGCATTAGAATTTGATTACAAATAATTTTTGAATTTTATTTAATTTTTTATTTAATATTTTTATATTTATTTCGTACATTTTCTGTTACAAATTTCAAATTTGGAAAACAAAAATTTACATTTCTCTAATTTTTTTGTAATAATTTTTAAAAATGTAATTTTTTTTTAATTAAAAATTTTGTTTTCTTTTAACTTTTTTTTTAATTTTTTTTTAATTTTTTTTAAATATTTTTTTAATTTTTTTTTTTTAATTTTTTATGTATGAAATTGTTGCGTAAAAGTAGTTAATAAAACGTTACCCAAAAATATACTACCAAATGCTATAACTAGTTTTGTGTGTAAATAAAATAAAATTTTTGATTATGTTTGAGTTGAATACAAAATTATATATATTAATTAACTATGAATGGCATAAATTTGAAGAAAAAAAATGTTTTTTAGTTGTTTTCGAATTTGTTTGCAATTGGCTGTTTGCTTATAAACTTAGTTCAATTTTATTTATTGTTTAATTATATATGAATTTTTGAAAAAAAAAAATTTGAAATTCATTTTATGAGAAGCGTTGAAAAATGGACAGTCCCGAAACACATTAAACTATTAAAATCATTCTCATTCAAAATGTTTTACAAACATACCACAAATTTTCAAACGTACTTCAAAAATTTAAATTTTTTTGGGTTTTTTAACAGTTTTTTGTACACCAAAAATGATTTTAAGAATTTTGAGTAATTTTTTCAATACAACTCTTTTTCCACGATAGACTACTCTCGTCTGGCAACTTTCCCAATATCTTGAAGACGGTGAAAATCGAAGTTTTTCAAAAATTTCAGATATTTTTGAAACTATTTTCGTTCAAATATTTTCCTAAAACTCTCAAAACTTTGCAGAAATTATATTTTTTGAAATTTTTAAAAACTGGTTTCAATAAAAAAATATTGTTTTAATACGCTCAAAACAGTGTACAAGTAGTTTTTGTAATTTTTAGAAACTGAGAATTTTCCCAACAGCTTCAAAACTGCTTTTTTAAAAATTTTTCTCTTGTTCACAAAAGATTCAAAATTGTTCCAATTTGCTGATTTTGATATTTTTCAAGACTTCTTATCGTTCGATTTCTTTACAATAACCTCAAAACTGTTCAAAATCGAAACCGTAACCGAGAAAACGTTCTGATTATGATTTTTCAAAATAGCTTTTAACTTGTTGATATTTTCGAAACTGCGTCTGTTGAAATAATTTCAGTTTTGGATCGAAACTACTATTTTAGACTTTTTTGGAAATTACTTCAGATTAGAGTTTGTCACAATAAAGTCAAAACTGGTATAAAAATTCTACTTAAGGAGCTTTTAGGCACGCCTATTGCTTAAAGTTTATCCCGATAAGCTCAAAACTGTAAAAGAAAATGCTATTTTGAACTTTTTGAAAACTATTTCTGCTCAAAAGGTTTTAGAAAAACCTTAAACTATAAAACAAAATAAGTTTTTAAAATTTTGCGATATTATTTCTTCTTCAAAACATGCAAAATAAGCACAAAACCAATTATTTAGTACGTTTTGAAAACTTCTATTGACTAAAGTTTCTCTTTGTTGTTCCAAAAAGCGCAAAATTGTGTTTTTGAAATTTTTTGAGACCGTTAATTAATTAAGAAGCTTTTCTAAATTGGTTCAAAACTATTAGAAAACAATTTTTGAAAACATGCTTTGTTTTTTTTTTTAATATTTTTGGAAACATTGAAAATTTGAAAAGTCTCTTCAAATAGGCTCAAACTGTTTCTTTTTCAAGTTTTTCGAAACAGCTTCTGCTTTAAACTTTTCAGCAAAGGCTCTAAACTACTTTTTTTTTAAATATTTCGAAAACACTCACGTACTATAGTAAACTTGGAAACTAGTTTTGCTTAAAAATTTTCAGATTAGTTTTAAAATAACTTTTTAAACATTCGTGGAAAAGTATTTGACTTCCAATTTTTTTCCAAATGGACTCAAAATGTTATTTTATATAGTTTTAGAAAATCTTTATGAGCAAAAGTTGTTCTAAAAAGCCCAAAACTGTAAAAAAAAACAACGTTTTTGAAATTAAAAAAACTGCTTCTGCTTAAAAACTCTTAAAAAAGCTTTAGACACTCTTTCTGTTTAAAAATTTCTCCAATAGGTATAAATTTGTCAATTTGGGCTTTTTGAAAAATTTTTAGACTCTCTTAATGATCGAAGTTTCCCCCAAAAAGTTCAAAACTGTTGAAAACACGCTTTTTCTAAGTTTTTGAAAGCAATTTTTGCTAGAAACATGTCCTAGTAAACTCAAAACTTTTCAAAAACGCCTTTCTAAATATTTTTGAGTCCACTTTTTCTCAAAAAAAAAATCTCAAAAGGCGCTCAGCTGTTAAATAAAATGCATTTTTTTACATTTTTCGAAATTATAATATTTTTAAACTCATCCGGCAAGCACAAATTGATTACTTTTAGTGTTTCGAAAAACTAAAAATTATTAAAGAAATTTAATGCACATAAAAAATGCATAATTTAAAGCAAAAATTCACTTGTTGCCTTCAACTTACAATAAAATCGAAATACATTTTAACACAAACGACGTACAACCTTGCCGGAAAGGCCTTCACATGCGATTCGTATGTTTGAAATCAATCAATGTTGACTTTCGCATTAGAAAATTCAGCTCGCGAAAAAAAAACTGTAAATTTGTTGAATAAAACAAACGCCGATTCCTCATCGCCGTTCCGATCTGGGCCGTATTATTGTGCTTATCTAATAACTCTTTTGTTGTTGTTCTTGTTGTTGTTGTTGTTGGTTTAAGAAACGCTTCACCGATTCACTTCACGCCTAACGAAACACTTACATGCAAGCATTGATTGCATTACATAACATTCCCATATATGTAGAAGATACAATATATATACCTTTTTTGTGGACTTTTTATATATTATTTTCGCATAAAATCAAAAAAATAAAAATTTAAAAACAAATAATTATGTATTGAAAAATGCTAATTGAATTCGATGTTACAATGAAATTGCTGCCAGCGTCCAAATCGAATAGTTGTTATTGCGAATCGGTGTGAGGCGACGGCGTCGGCAGCTGTCAATTGCGATGTGTGGACGTCGGCGGAGTACAACCGGGAGAAAAAGTAAATTTTTTAACACTGACTGATTAGTTCGATTTGTTTTTTTTTCAACATAAAAGATACATTAAAACAATTGGGCAAAAAAAAAAATAGCAACATTTTCACATTGGAAATCAAAAAATTCCATTACGCTTAAAAGCATCTTCAGCAGCAGAGCATTTTCATGTTATTGTAAATACATACATAAACTAAAATGTACATGTGTACATACGTATGTGTTTATTGTTTACTATTGAAAGTTAAAAATACAATTAAAAAAAAAAATAGAAATTGTTTTCAATGACTAATTCAAAAAAATTAAAAATTTAATAGGAAAATCTGAAGAAAATTAAATAATAAAAATATTAATATAAAATAAAAATATTAAACAGTTTAAAAATAAATTAGAATTCAAAAAAAAGAATAAAGTTTAAATATTTGAAAAATGGAAAAAAAAATATTTAGAAAAATACGAAAAAAAAATTAAAAAAATTAAAATTTTAATATATTTGAAAACTTAGAAAATTCAAAAAAATATATTCAGAAAAAACGAAATAATTAAGAAAATTGAAATTTTTTATATTTGAAAAAATTAATACATTTGAAAAACTTAAAAAAAACCAACTACTTAAAAAATTTAGAGATTTAAAAAAATAAAATACTTCAGAAAATTTATTTTTGAAACTTAAAAACAAACTTAATATATTTGAAGAAGTTCCAAAAATTTGAGAAACTGGAAAACCTTTCTAATTAATTTGAAAAGCTTTGAGAAAATTGAAGAATATTAAAAAAAATTTAAATTAAAAAACCCAAAAATTAAAAAAATTAAAAAGAGTTCAACAAATTTTAAAACATTAAAAATTTCAAAAAAATTTAAAGTTTCAAAAAAAATACCAAAAAAATTGAATTCCTAAAACTATTTGAGTAAAATTTCGAAAGAAATCAAATATTTAAAAGAAAAATTTAAAAAATATTTTAAATTCTTTAAAAAAAATTTTAAAGGAATTTCGTAAAAGATGAATTTAAAAAAAATTTTACAACATTAAAGAAATTAAAAAAGTTTTTAAAGAATTAAAAAAATTTAAAAAATTGAAAAATCTTAAAGCATTAAAAATTTTTTAAAATTTTTAAAACATTTAAACAAATTTGAAAAAAATGTAAAAATTAAAATATTGAAAAACTTAAAAACTTAAAAAAAAATAATAAAAAAATTATGAAAAAATTTTTAAGAAAAAATTTAAAAAATCTTAGTAATCAAAAAATTTAAGTAATCTTAAGAATTTTTAAAATTTTTAAAACATAAATTGAAAAAAATTTTAATTTTAAGATTTTGAAAAAGTTAATAATTTAAAAAAAAATTAATAAAAAAACTAGATAATTATTTATTATATTTAAAGAATTTAAAAAAATTAAAACATTGAGAAATTTTAAAGCATTGAAGAATTTTCAAAAAATTTTAAAACATTTAAAAAAATTAAAAAAAAAATGTTAAAATTATGATTTTGAAAAATTAAAAAAATAAAAAAAAAAATATTAACAAAAAAATAAAAAAATTGGGAATCATGAAAAAAATTTGAGAATTTAAAATAATTAAAAAACCGTAAAGCATTTAATAATTTAAAAATTAAAAAAAAAATATAATAACTAAGAATTTTTAAAAATTATAATTTTGAAAAATTTGAA